AATATTTCAAGTTTCATCAAAATTGGATAAACATTGTGGACAGATGGATGGACGGACAGGGGCCACGATTATATACATCCACATGGAAATGCCGTAAACTTCCAATCAATAGAAACAATTACAGATGGTTTGATGGGATCAATTTTTATTAAGTCAAAATGATACATGTGATATTCAGATAAGCTGATATACAATAGTTAATAGAATACAATGGTTTTTTGATATTGTATTCTTCTGTTAATTGTTTATCACATGAAAACGTAGGCGTATAAAAATATAAAACATATTTTAGGCCAATATACAATATACTTGGTCAAATATTACGAAAACACAACATCCAGAACTCCAACATTTTACTTTAGCTTTTAACAATAAGACAATTGGTAATACTAACCTCATTCTCGTATAACACCTCCAAACCTTGTTCACATTTTGACCATAATATATTTTACCATAAGTAATATCTAATTTCCTTCAGATTCCCCCACCGCACCCTTATAATGTTCAAAATAAAAGGAAGAAGTGTGGAGCCCATCAAAACATCATATCAATACATATCAATATAATCATAATATTTTACTATTGTAGGTTTGGTATTCCTATATCATTATAGAAAACACCATCATACCAAACGATGTCCAGGTCTTCAACACCAAGTTGTTGCAGGGTAGACCTCATGGGAAAAATGTTTTGATCACTGTTGTAGATATCCTTTAAACCAATCGTATACATATATCTATATCCCTATATACCAAAATAGCCAATCTTCACATTCTTCTTCTTTTCTATCAACTCCTTTAAATCAGTAAGACTAAATGTCTTACTGACAGTTACAGTATCCTTATCAAAAGACCTAACAATACAGAATAATATATATTACAAAATAACTTATCAACTGCACATCTATGAATACAGGTTAAACATACATTTAAGAATGTATATTAATAGTAATATTTTAATTCATGTATATAGTTATTTGGCGCAATATAACCCGGTTGGAGCTGACGTGCCATTAAACAACATTTCATTCATTCGTGTATATAGTTAATATTATAAGCTTATTTTCTATGTCTATAATCTAACATTTGAATTCTTTTAATATTTTAATCTATGTCTAAATTGTTGTGTTTATGTTAATTGTAATGTACGTAGCTAAGGGTTACATCTTCAAATATATATAAATGTGAAGATGGGCCCAGGGAGGACAAGGTAGGGAAGATATACAGTTAACCGACTACTACACTTATAGATATGCCAACTCTTGATTTTATACTTCTTTAGTTGAACATAATTCTGTAGTTATTATCTCTTATAATTGTTATTGCTGTGTGTACATAAAGTTCTATAATTAGCTGAATCAAGTGTTATAATTCATGAATAAGAAATGAAATGAAATGAAATGGGGTTTAACGTCCTACTGTTCTGCTCCTAACCTGGGCTAATGAAGACGGGCATACGCCATACAGTGTGCTATGAGGGAATTTTTTTTTTTCGTCCCATCCGAACGACTAGACAGCTTTCCTTGTCAGCCCCTCCGTCCTGCATCACTGACAAGGGAGAACCACGCCGGAAAATCTGGATGAACTTTCTCGGCCAATGCAGGGATCGAACACCCGACCTCCAGGCTAGCGAGCTAGCGTCTTACCCACTTAGCCACCGTGATCCCCATGAATAAGAAGAAACGGGTAGAAAGAACTGTCTACAACAATAAGAACCAAGCTGGTTACAGAAAACTGGAAAATTTTTGAAACTTTCTAAATACATTTTTGGATAGCTGAGATTGATGCAATTCCAACGATATGCATGTACGTTTTATTGTGAAATGTTAAAATTTGATTTTTCACTTTTTTTCGTATTTTAGTCAAATCGTGGAGGTTTTATTTTTTAAAAAATCACTTAATTTTAGAGACATAAAGTAGTGCATAAACATATTTTTGAAATTCTCTATTCACCGGAAGAAGTCAAGAAAATTATCCAAACTTGGACAAAATTCTGAAAAATGGGTCCTGTGATCAAACTTCAATGTATTAGTTGGTTACTAACTGAGTAGTTAAAGTATTATATCGTATAATAACCAAGTAAATTCTCTACCAAATAGTGCCAATAAAGCAACAAGTTTTTACTTCAAACTAAAAAAGTTATTGGACTTTGAAAAGTAAGATTTTTTACGATTTCGAGCAAGTTTAGGCGCATGTTTCTTGAAAATGACTCCAATGACTTTTTTAAACCTTTCTAAATCGACAGTATAATGGGTAGTCGGTTGTGTGAAACCATTGTACTATATTTTGAAATATCAAGGGTAGCAGAAAAAGGCGATCGCAAATTGAAAACGGCGTATTTTTACAATTTGGAGAATGTTTTCTCAAAAAGTCAACCTAAATCTTTTTTCAAATTCTTCTATAGAGAGTCTAATCGGAATTCTTGTGTATAAAACCAACATTGCGAAATATCAGGAGCAGCAAATAAAAAGGCACTGTACATCGGCAAAAGTCTGAAATGGTCAAAATCAGTACGTACTGCGTAAATTTAAGTCATTGTTACGTTATATTTTCTGATGTAAATCTAACTTAAAGTTTACTTCATTTTCTGATGTAAATTAAGTGACATAAACTTTATGCAAATTTACGTTAGATTTACATCAGAAAATGAAGTTAACTTTATGTTGGTCTAACATTAAAAAGATGAGCAAAATGACGTTAACTTTATGTTGGTTTAACATTAAAAAGATGAGCAAAATGATGGTAAACTGACTGAACATTTTTACGTAAATTTAACGTCATGATGTTATGTGGGGATATCAACAACTGATGGGGCCCCTACTAATCATCGGAATTCACCGGAATTCATTTTCAATCACCAGAATTAACATATAATCACCGGAATTCACTTCGAAAAACCTCGATTCCTCCCATAAAACTGATTTATTTTAAATGCATGATACATTAAAATAATACAACGAATAACTATTTTGATCTCTCCACAGGCCATGTTAATGGCAGAATACTGGATCATCGACCAGTTGGTATATACTTCAATGGCGGCATTGACATACTTCGATACCAATGACGTCTATATCCGGTTTACTTATTCTTTCATACAATAGTTATCTTCCCGAGAATCGAAAGAAGAATGTTGTCTATTATTAGAGCAGTATCTTCGCGCTTTAATATCTTATGATTTTCGCGCTTTCTGAACGCTAGGCTAGAAGTAGAGAGAAGGACTTCGTTTACCACTACCAGCGTTCTTATTAGGCCTATAGGCTATGTGTAGATCAGAATGGTCACAATTCTATGGAATACAATTACTGTTTATTACTGAGCGACGTTTCTACTGCCATTCTGTAGCCATTCTGTAGTCATAATCAAATACATAGCACACAATTCTATGGAATACAATTACTGAGCGATGTTTCGACTAGGCTTCTCTAGAATTGTGACCTGTATATGAAATAAAATGAAATGAAGTTTAACGTCCTACTTTTCTGCTCCGACTGGGCTAATGAAGACAGGACCTGTTTATGACTTATGTATGTCATAAATTATTTTAATGGCCTATTTTTAGTTACATCAGCACATATCATCTCATGTTTTTACTTGTGCTGCAGGTCTTGAAACAGTGTTTATGAATTTGTGGCAGTTTTTCCTTAGAGAATAGGATCAATTATTATCGTCACTTGAAGTTTATTTACCTTGTTACGGAACCCATTAATGAGATTTTTAATTATATTAATTAACATCATTGTCTAATGACTGACCCATAACAATTTTTAGATTACCCTCACAATATATTTTGTCAACACCACTATCCATATAATTTATTGATAATATTGCAGTTAAATTTTTTAAGGGCCAGATCTTTTCGAATCGACCATACTGACAATATTTCCCAGTAATGAATTATTAGTGTTGTGATTGTTGAATAATCTGCTGGTATTTAGTTCATGAACTGGCATACCCTTTACTTGTCGTATTTTTGAGTGGATTCGTCCTTAGTCAGTGGTCTAACCTCTGTAATATATTTTGTACCTTCTACATTACTTATATTTTAATATTGGTCCCCCCAAAAAAAATAAATGTCATCATTGATCATGAAATTTCTACTTTTATCATTAACATCGATCATTAAATACCTACTTTTATTAATATCAGCAACGATCAATTAATTGCTACTTAATACTTCTATTAAAGAGGCGTAATACGAGGGGTAATACGAGGGCTAAATGTGACTATTGCCGACCTTTTATGTAGTATATAAATTATGATTAAGGTATTTATATGACAACCCCATAATCAACTCTCTAGACCATCAGATGGCGACTACTCCTTGTCACTTACAACCAGGGAATCAAAACCACGCCAGTTGACTCAATGACAGACCTTATGATATCCCAAACATGCGCTAACCATTCGGCCATCCAACCCCCCCTCCCCCCCATGTCAGATGTATGTTGGTATAACTTGACATTGTGAAGCTGACATCATTTTTTCTTATCAAAAATCACTTAAAGATGCATTATGTAAGTTTAGTTCTAGCTATAATAGTTCCAAAATAGATGATGCAAAATTAATATATTTAAAATAACTTTATTCTCAGCAAAATGAAATGGGGTTTAACGTCCTACTGTTCTGCTCCTAAACTGGGCTAATGAAGACGGGCATACGCCATATAGTGTGCTATGAGGGAAATTTTGCCCGGGCAGCGGCGCACGGCCTACTCTTATTTTGAATTCCCACTGCCAAGGGTTATTCTGAGCAAAGTTATCACTGTTTGAAGTTTTGGCAAGATGTGGCATAGATTGTTTATTATCGTCGTGACATTACCTGTTAATCAAGATTCGATCTTTATTCACCATTTTTTAATTAAATCATTAATGGCAACCATGTTTCAATCTGTTTATATCTCCACCATCCAGTGGTCTCGAGAGTTTATTATGGGCTTGTCATATGAAAAAATGTCTAAATAATAATTTATATATTTGACTCGAAAATAAAGACCTTCAATAGGCAGATTTACCTTTAATATCGACTTAATTTCATAATGTGATATTAACAATACATGTATATTGGTATAATTTGCATTTTTAATTTGGAAGTTCTAAAAATTTATGCAGTAAAACATGCAACCCTCTCCATAGCATTGCTTTCTGTAAACGAACGCGATTTTGGTTGACAATTAATTTAGGAAATGGAGTATTTGCACTCTGTATTCAAGAAACGTGGGGTTTATAGGATACAGTTTTTCATCCCATCCTTACGACTATATGCTGATCTTTGCCATGTCCTCCGTCCTGCACAGTCCTGAGGAACCTGCTCAGCTAACACCAGGATTGAAACCCGGACTAGATCCACCCTACTTTTGAGGTTTGAAAAGAAAATAACGTATAAGTGATCTACAGGTAAACCATATGCTACTAAGGATGACTTTATAATCTAGTCATATGAACTAATACATTTTTAATCTACGAACATCTATCAACATGAGAGTCCAAAATGAGTTTATCATCATACATTATTCATCCACCAACATCTTACAGCATCAGAGTCAAAATTCTAAAATAAGTTATCATCATAACATCATACAATTACCATATATAGATATCTAAACAATTAGAAAATAAATACTTTACAAAATAGTTTCCTTACAAGGTTTTTTTTCTCTTCTTTCTTTTGAGCTTTTGTTCCAAATGAAATATCAACATCTCCTCATTAATAGTTAGTACTTTTTGTGTATAAATGAGATTTTTGGAGAGAAATGGGCCTGTCTATACACACCTAGAGTTATTTGTGAGCCATCTTCTTTACCCGACTAATAAGCAATGGTCTGTGATAGGACTGCTCTCGACCTATCATCTGTTGCACTTCTGCTGCTGGCAGATCATTCCCTTATCAGCAAACCGCCTCGGTGGCATAGATATATTTAGAAATACACGCTTTGATTGTGGAGATGGTTTGATGGATGCCACTCTAATTGCTTTGTATAAACGACTCATTATGTGGGTGATTTTTAATAAACATCATTACAACCTTAACAGGGTAGGGAATTCTTGTATACGACATACAATGGCCAATCGAAACTTCGATGCCGATAAATCAGTAGACAGAGTGTCACAGATAAATAAATCAAGGTGTGTTACGTTAGGCCTTAAGAAAATATTGAAAACTCCTACCTCTACCATTATCAATAGGAATATACGAGGAGATTCTTTTTTTTTCAGAAACAACCATACATACGCAAATGTATTCTAATTGAAAATGTGACCAAATTACGTGCATAAGGCTTGTGGCAATTGTTAAGAGTTAATCAATATTTTCTGACCAAAAAAGTACATTTCGAGTAAATAGAGAGCGACAGGAGAAAGGATTTGAAATACAAAAAGACTTGAGAATACAGTATTTATAAAGAATATCAAGTCTTTAAAGGCATTAGAGTATAGGGGTTTGGTATGTAAGTTATCAATAAAACTGTACAACATTCACTACAATAGATGCATTCTGGGAAACTCTTCCATTCTGTCTGTACGTTCTTTCCTCTGGGAAATGAAATGGGGTTAAATGTCCTACTCCGACTGGGGTAGGTCTATGAGATATGGTGTACTATGAGGGAAAATTTGCCCGGGCAGCGGCACTACGGCCTACTCTTATATCGAATTCCAACTGTAAGGGTTCTTTAACATGGTTATCAATGTGTACACTACGCCTCGGTTTTTCGTCCCATCCAAATGATGTCCCTTGCCAGGCCCTCCATTCTGCACTTCTGACAAGGGGAAATCCTGATGAACTTCCTCAGTCAATACTGGGAGCGAGCCCGAGACCTCCAGGTTAGCAAGCCAACGTTTTACTCCCTGAGCCATTGCGGCCCCTCCCCTCACTGGGAATAAAATGAACATGATTCTGGGGGAAAATATAGTTTACCCAACATTTTTTATATTCCGGGATATTTCAAGGGAAGCTTTTTGACAATCTACAAATTTTTAAGTAATTGCGAAGAAATGAAAGAGCGTTGGGCCTACCAGACAATAACCCAGAATTTATTGTGGTTTTATAATATGGCGATTTGATTCTATAATTTCACTTTTCTTGGTCGTTACGATTTCTTATTTTCATAAAGGAAATAAATAGTTCAGAAGCTTGAATGGCCCTTTATCTGTCTTTTATTTTCCCCAAGAGGTGAAGAGCATACGGCCAGAATGACCGAGTCTAAGAGAAATACAATGGATGCTAACAATCAACCATCTTTCATACAATATTAAACATAATTTCTACTTAAACACTGTGGTAATATTAATTTAAAGAAAATATTTATTGAAGAATAGTCTATAAATTTTTCTTGCTGAAAATAACAAATGTATCTGGAACAATAACCATAATAATTAGTTAAACGACAAAAGACTAATAGATGTATTTTATTGCTGAATATCCACATCTCTAGACAAACAGCAGTTGCACAGGTTTTTTTTTCTTTAAAAGGGACATCAATTAAATAACGGTGCAAGTTAGAGAACAAGTTTTATGTGTAGATCTCCTAGCTTCGGACACTCAATTTTTAACTCGCCCTCAAAAATATTACAAGACGACTTTATATATATATATATAGATATATACGTTATTTTACAATAAAACTAGATACAATATGGGGGCTAAAAAAAAAGGGTGTCCTCTCATTTGCTTATTACTTTATACAATATATATTACAAAATGTACAGGTACAAAAAATTAAAACCTAGTTTTTCTTTTAATCCTATTATAATACAGATTAATAGGATATAATATTTATATATTTATATATATATATATATATAACACGATGTTTTTAATTTGAAAATGTCCGATAGGATACAATGTAAGTGGAATTTCAACAAAAAACGTTTTTTCCACTTGAATGAATCTCTTGCATCATTTCACACAGACAGACAACATTCAGATAATTCTGGGCTAAACATTAGAGTTTCAGTTCATTAGCTATTTTAGATGCAATGTTCTTAAAGCCTATTGAAGTACCGGAAATGCGTTTAAAACGAACTCCATTTACATTTAGAGAAAGTCTCGGTAGTTTGCACACTTCCATCTCCCATTGCACTAGACTGTCTGTATTTGGATCATCGTGCACACAGAGAAAGAGAAATTTCTCCCGTTGCTCATAATCACAGTTATTTGCATCAAGAACTTTCCGTATTTCGTTCATCATGTCGTGAGGGTCCATAGAACTTGTCGTTTTCATACTCCAGGTGAATCGTAGAGCTCTCGGCTTCACAGCTTCACCATCCTTAGTTTCATTCACAGACCTGCGGAACAATTTGCTGAAATTAGAAAAACATCCACACACGTAAAAAACAATGGCCAACCCTCGCAAACAGAGCTTTCACATCACTTGGTAGAATTTCTTGTTTAAATCTGAAATAGTTTCTGTTGTTCATCTGGGAGCCATCTTTTTTATCAAGATGGACCTGTGGTGTTGCAATTCTTGTTGATTTTGATTGAAAATTATGTTGGTTTTTTTTTCTCTCAATAACTTTTTGATAGTTCTCCAAAAGTTAAAATGTATTTTTTAGTATATAATGTTATTATTTTCAACATATTATTGAATTTGTTAAGAATAATAATGGAAGGAATCATGCAATGTGCTATAATATATTTGGGTACATAACATGCAGGGGCTTATTTAATTTCCATGCTTCAAATTAGGAAGAGTCTAAAATTAAAATATTCAACACTTCAAATAAGAAATTCATTACAAAATGGACTCAAGCAGTTTTGGTAACTTGCAATAAAATTAGAGTTTTCTTGGCAACTAGCAATTTTGCATTAGATGTTTCGAAATTTGCAATGACATTAGAATTTTCTCTGTAACTTGTAAAATAACATAAGAATTTTCTCTGTAAAAGGCAAAGTGATTTTAGAATTTTGCAATAACAGAGGTTTTTTTCGGTAACCAGTAACTTGCTATTGTAGTAAGAAATTCATGGACTCAAGCAGTATTGGTAACTTGTAATAAAATGAGAGTTTTCTTGTTAACTGGCAATTTAACATTAAAAAACACAACACAATTTATATGGAATACAATCACTGGTTTATACACATATAGCACGACGTTTCCACAAGTATTCTCTTATCGTTATCAAGTAGAAGTATCAAGTATAAACCAGTGATTGTATTCCATATAAATTGTGTTGTGTTTTTTTAATAATGTTCTCAATCACTAAATGCCACTCAAGGATTAAATTTGACATTAGGGGTTTTTTTTCTTCAAAATCTGTAATAACATTAGAATTTTCTCTGTAAGTTGCAAACTGACATTAGAATTTTCTCTGTAAATGGAAATTTGTATTAGGATTTTTTGGTACCGTAACTTGTAATTAACAGAACACTATTTCTATGGGAAACAATCACTGGTTTGATTCTAAAAGGATGATGTTTCGACAAGTACCCTCTAGGTAACCGTAAGAGGATACTTGTCGAATTGTTGTGCTTTTAGAATTAAACCAGTGATTGTTTTTTCCATAGAAATTGTCTTTTGTTTATGTGTTTCCCAATCGCTAAATGCCACTTAAAGATTATAACTTGTAATTGTAATATAACCTTAGAATTTTCCAGGGTAACTTGATATAGACCATTAGAATATTCCAGGGTAACTTGATATAGACCATTAGAATTTTCCTGGGTAACTTGCAATTTTCTATCAGAACAATGAGAGTACAATTCTTTTTTCCTTTTTTTATTTAGGGGTGAAACATGCAAAGCGATACTTAAATTTTGGTAACTGCATCTAAAGCAAGAATAAGCATATAAGAGTAAGCGATTTGTTCCCTGAACCATTTTTTTGCTACCTATTAATTACAACTGTGCTATATTATATAGATCAAAGCAATATCTGTATTTCAGGCCCAGGGAAATAATTAACATTTTACAATACCAGAATTTCTATATTCTTATTAATGCTTTTATATTGTTATGTCAAGGTCAATATAATTGGTCCATCAGCAATCGATGTATTGTTAATTAGAGTAAACAACTTATCAAGGTGTTAACAAAAAGCATTCTTCTTTCGATTCTCGGGAAGATAACTATTGTATGAAAGAATAAGTAAACCGGATATAGACGTCATTGGTATCGAAGTATGTCAATGCCGCCATTGAAGTATATACCAACTGGTCGATGATCCAGTATTCTGCCAGCGTCATAGTTAAGATTTGACTGCGATGTTACAGGGATATCATGGGATGAGTTGTCAATGATACTGTTATCCTCTAAATAACTTTGACCCACTGAGGATCCTGTGTTAATGGGGGTGGAAGAAACATGACCACTAGATGTATCAATAATAGACTTATTAACATCATTGATAAAATGGCTATCAGGGCTGAGGATAACATTTGTTGCATCGGTAGTGATAGGAATGTCATTGTTGACTACTGTAGTTTTTATGGAGTCTAGAGTAGCTAAGTCCTGGTCTAGACTTCCTGGGTTTGTGTGTTTGACTTGACCAGAATTATAGACATTTGTTTTTGTCGTATTATTTTTTGAGGGGATAATATTATTGACACCAGGGTTATTGTCTTCACTAGGGTCATAGCCTAAGACATGGTTATTGATATTTAGGTGCTCATGATTAGGTTCATAAATATTATCAATATTATGGGTGGGTTCAGTGGCTACATCAGCAGATACTATAGCACTGTTTGGACTAGTTTGGGGTTGGAAACGGTTTGAAGCAGGATCTGTCACATTTAACCAATTCACAATAGTTCGTCAATTTGTTAACCAGATATTTATTGTCCATTTCGAATGGTAGGCCGAAGACCGCAACAGGAATTGAATCAACAGGGTAGTCCCATGTGATGTTTCCAGCCGACTCTACTGTATAATTGCAATTCTTCACTGAGAAGGTCTTGAGATTCTCAAGAAATAACTCCTTGGCAAGTATATCCTTAAGAGTTAGGCAAAACTTGCCCTTACCTACATTTTGGAGACATTTTATATTGCTGATGTAAAAATCCTTAGCTTGTAGGAAATATAATATGTCTACTGAGGCAATACCAGTGGAGGGGTTATCATCGTCAGGAATCAGTTCAACAGTATTGTCCGGAATTATACGGTTTGTTACACTCATCTCCCCATTAGGGTTAATTGTCATCTTTGTCGATTTTATGTAACTCATTGTCAATAAAACACTTCAACAGCTTGTATGCCGTCTTAATTAGAGTTTAAAGGTGGTGAATCACGGTGGCCATAGACCGTCCATGACAATATGGCTGACACCAACACTGAGAATTCAAATGTCTTGTCACAGTAGAACTCAAATAGTTTATACAATTATCAACTCTGAGATATTAATCCATTACAGGGTATCTGGGTCGTATCTATACAAAAGATAAGATGGCCATTGTCGGACACTAAATAAATAGCTCTTTATAAACGCCAGTAGAGGGAGAGCTATCAAGACACAATCAGGTGTATTTATTTGAAAGTCTACCGGAATTCATTTCAAATATATGCATCATGATTATGATAACGTAGGGCGCATCGAATTACCCAATGACTCCAAAACAACACCCAGTAACTCCAAAAATGGAGTGCAAACACAAAATAACAATTTAGTTGAGTTTAAGAAGCCTCACTGCTTTGTGCCCAAATCGGAGGTTCAGGAGAGATAACTCGTGTATGTGATTTGTGTCCATTGTCACTTTCGGTCATCGACATCGTACCTTGTTTTGAAATAAATAAAATCAATTTAAATAAGTAGCGCTGACAATTAATTGTCTCTGCTCAGAGTATTCTCATGTTATGATAGTTTATTATGTTGTGAACAATGACAATATTTAAATTTATAGTCCAGTAAATCTGGGGTTAGACCCAAAACAAATTGCAACAGAATTGATTTCACTGGGATGCATTTCAGTATAGTCCCCTAAACAACATCCCAAAAATCTTCCAAAATATTTTTGGTGGAAATGGGTCAAATTGCGTAATATGCTAATTAGCATAATTTCATATTTAAAAAATTGACTTAATGCTATAACTTGGCTATTAAATGTTCAAATTAGGTGGAAATTGTGTCTAAACCCATGTTTTCGTGGCCTGGTAAGCGAATAAACACATTTAGAATATAATCACTTTATTACATAATGCATAATATGCAAATCAACATCCACCATTAGTGAAAAACTTATATTCCCCCCTAAATCTGAAACTCTTTGACTTAGCACCATAAAACCAGTATCTACGCTCATAATTTCAGGGTCAAGGGTGCCAAAAAACACTAAGAGAACAGCACAGTGGTATTGCATAGAACACAATATGATAAGAACACAGCAGTAATCCATGTAAAATGTCAAACCGAACATTTCCCGAATGTAGATGAGCTAAGTTTATTCGAAAATTAACTTGGTAATAATAAGCCAATTAAATAAAGTCTCATCAATAATGGTTTGGATGTTTTCATAGATGATCCGTTGTAGCATGAAGCAGTCCAGATTAAATAAAGTGTAAAGTGTAATTTTATTGTGAGTTGTCTTGTGCCACCTGCAATGAGATGCAAAAACACAGAGGTCACACAATTTCGGCTTAATCCTTACTGATTATTCCTTAACTTAAATCAACACTGACGTGCATTTAGTAGTTATTTTAATAATTAATTTGCAGTGGATATGAAGTTCAGATTTATGTTTAACCTTTTTGTTGACAGAGCCTTTTTGTTGATTGTCTCTAATCATAGCTATAATATTAAATTGTTTATTGCACTATATATATATATACCATAATATGTTTCATGCATATAATTACTGTTTTAATAAACTATTAATCTCTAATTACAATACATTTCAACGAAACGAAAGTATACATTTATTTTTTGTCAATAAAAATCACATACACGAGTTATCTCCCGTGAACCCGATTTGGGCACAAAGCAGCGAGGCTTCTTAAATTCAACTTATTTTGTTTCCACGGTCAACATTTTTGGAGTAATTGGGTGTTATTTTGGTGTTGTTGGGTAATTTGACGCAAATTGTTATTGGAGTTAGGCCTATTAGGCAATTTGACACACCACGACGCGCACGATACTAGATCTTGGTTATCCGAGAAATAACCAAGATCTAGTATTGTGCCCACGACGCACCCTTATACTTTATCATAATCATGATGCATATATTTGAAATGAATTCCGGTAGTCTTTCAAATAAATACACCTACAGCGTTTTCATCTGGCCTGTGGAGAGATTAAATAGTTATTCGTTATATTATAATGTATTATACATTTAAAATAAATTAGTTTTGTGGGAGGAATCGGGGATTTTCAAAGTGAATTCCAGTGATTATAAATGAATTCCGGTGATTGTAAATAAATTCTGGTGATTAGTGTACCCGGAATTGACTATCGATATATTTCCCAGTAATTGCCAACGATTATCGACTATCAGTATTTTTCACCAGCACTATACTTGTTACAGTTTGTAAAGTTTAAGAATCATCAAAATATATTGTAATTGGAACACTTACCGTGTGTGTAATATCTGTAGTTTAATATCACTGGTATTACAATTTCTAGTATCAGTGTTGGGTTTTTTTGTAACTTCTAATTTTTCGGTTTTCGTCATAGATACTTCCAGATGAGCCAACATTTCCTTAAATTCAGCGACTTCCTTATCTTTTCTTGTCATCTTTTTATTTAAATCTGCGATTTCTTTATCTTTTTGTTCCATCTTTTCATTCATTTCAGATTTGAAATTTTCAAGTTCAGATCTTAGGTTGCTATCTTCAGGCACGTAGCTAGTGGCAGGATATGCCCGCATTGGCCCCCTTCTAACTACTTGCCTGCCTTCTCCATTTGCTTGGTAATCAGCATTGGGATGTGAATATAAATAATTATATGTAGTGTGGGTCCCCTAGAATAGAAAATGAATACAACCCTTAAATCAAATAAAACCACTTACATATTATTACATCAACAATTGGAATGTACGTAGCTCATACCATTCTGTATTTGGCCATTTGCTGCTCTTTCTTCAAATTTGTGTATTTAAAAAACATGAAGTAGTTTTACTTATTATAACAAGTTGACTTTAACATTTAGGCCCATATTTTCAAAAGTGGATCAGTGCTAATCATAGATTTAATCTCTGATTTTCTGACCAGCCATATTCTAAAAAGCTGATTAAATTTTAAGCTAAGATTTTTACAAACTGTGATTAGCTTAACCATTGAGTTAATCATTGTTCGAGAATACCATAAAATGTGGTATTCTGGAACGTTGACTTATACTTAACCTTCGACCAAATCACCCCAATATTTAGTCATCTCAGGGGGGTATTTTTTAGGAAGGATTAAGTGCATGGATATGCAATTACAATGCATTGAATGTTATAGAAATGATTATTTTGCATTAAATTCAGACACATTGCACTTATATTTTGCTACAAATTCACATTCACCTTAAATTCTGTTAAAAAAGATTTTTGAAATATTAAACATTCTCTATAGTATAAAATAATATAAAACTTAATTTGACTGAAATTTTCAATATATTCTTCTTTCATCATCTACTTTTGAACTGTTATAGCAAGAATGGCCAACTCTCTATTAAAATCTTCCATAATGTATCTTTAAGTAATTACGTATACTTTAAATCAAAATCTATAAACTGCAAGATAAAAATAATTTTTAGAAATGTCAAAGAACCTTTTAACAAAAGGAATTGCAAAAAAAAGGGCAAATCAAGCTCTTAGCACAAGTCGTCCATGCAGTAAACAAGGGTTGACTCTAAAATCTGAGCACGAGTAACGACCCATTATGTAATTATCAGAAATAAATAAAAATTGTTTGGCTTCTGAAATGAAATGAAATGGGGTTTAACGTCCTACTGTTCTGCTTCGAACTGGGCTAATGAAGATGGGCATTACGCCATACAGTGTGCTATGAGGAAAATTTTGCCTGGACAGCGGCACTACGGCCTACTCTTATATCGAATTCCAACTGTCAAGGGATCTTTTACGTACACGCCAATGTGTACACGGGACCTTGGTTTTTCGTCCCATCCGAACAACTAGACAGCTGTCCTTGTCAGGCCCTCCGTCCTGCTTCACTGACAAGGGGGAACCACGCCGGAAAATCTGGATGAACTTTCTTGGCCAATGCAGGGATCGAACACCCGACCTCCAAGCTAGCGAGCCAGCGTCTTACCCACTTAGCCACCGTGACCCCCCGTGTTTGGCTTCTAGTATAGCCCTATACGATCGTTTAATATACAAAACACTTAAAAGGGGCATTATGAGAGATTAGATTAAGAGCTGGCAATTCTCACTATAATAGTTAACGAGAGCATCGCTATTGCTGCAATATACGTCCACATTCCTGCTTGGATTGAAATGGTACTTTTTGAAATAAAGAAGGCTAGGCATTGGGTTTGTTTTGCCAAATTTGCAGACTAAATTCAACAAAATGTGGGTGTGACACCGCCCCTGGGGGTCGGGACATGCACCAATATCATTAGTTGCCGTCCTTAGGCTATAAGGAATACTTACATCAAGTTCCAAGACGATCCATTAAAAATTGTGACCTGAAGGCAACACACAGACACACAAAGCCAAAATGGGTGTGGCTCAGCCTCTGGTGGTCGGACATGCAACAAAATCAATAGGGATGATCCTTATGGTATAAGGAATGAGTATACGAAGTTTCAAGATAATCCATCAGGAATTGCACACACACATGCACACAGACAGGGGCGACGGCATAGTACATTCATATTATGAATGTGGACGTATAAAAACTAGATAATGTAAAGGGAATTTGCTGAAAATTTCAGTCAAATTAATCCAGTCTGAACCGAGGTATTAGCTTTTGAATTTTAGGACTAGCCTCGATCATCATTACTAAATTCGGTGAACGGATTCAATTCCAGTAAATATCGCAGACTAGCGATGACATTATGGCCTGGATCAGTTAATTAAACATACATTATGCCTATTGCAGGTCTTTCTTTTGGCCTAAAATGTTATCTAAATTATTAATTAGACATTAATTAACTTATCCAGACCATAATCAACTATCGATGTCATCGCTAATCTGCGATGTTTATTGGATTAGGTTCCGATTTGCTGTTCTACTTTCATTCATGATTTAATCATGAAATGGATAATCAAGACTATGTTTTTCATCGTACCAACTTTAGTAATGATGATCGCGGCTAGGCCGAAAATTCAATCGCTAAAACTCGGTTCAGAGTGAATCAATTTGACTGAACGTTTCAGCAAACTGCCTTTACATTATCTAGTTTTTAACTATTATAGTGAGAACTGCCAGCTCTTTACCTAATGTATTTTTAATGTCTAATTAATAATTAAGGTCTAAAGAAAGATCTGCAATAAGTATAAGGATTTCAATTTTTGTGTATATTAATTTTTAATGTTTTTAATACAGCACATGTTAGTGAGCACCTTTAAACCCCCACTTTAAGATTTTACATTTCTTCTGTCAGTTTCCTTAAGCTGTTGTTACTTTAATAATAGTGAGTATATTTAACTGAGTTTCATTGTTTCTTGGTCACGTGATGTATTTGTTTGTAGATACATTCAGTTGTTAACCATCTTTGTTTCAAAGAGGAGCTTTAACAAAGTCGTGTCTAAGTTTAGTTTTGGTGATTGATTTCTGTGAAGTTTTGGTAAAGAGTTGCAGTTATTTACCAGGTATGTTGAATTATGTTTTACTGATTATATACTGAGCGCCATGGAAAACGGATAACTTAGTTTTTTGTATAACAAAATGATCCTGTAAACATATCTTATTTATTTTGCTTCTTATTGTGAACGATATTCAAATGGGAAAACATCAATAACAACACATTTGTACACTGATGGATGTTTATGTAATCAAGGGTACAAAGTCAGAGGGGTCAAAACCAAAAGTACGACACAGATGTCGGTAGCGCGTGTCCTCCACGGGCTCTTACGCACGCTGTGCAGCAACGTCGAATGGAATTAACCAATGTTTAAAAGAAGGCCTGGCAGCAATGGTGTGCATCTGTGGTCTCCGATACAGACGGCGTCTAATCTCATCCCAGACACGTTCTATCGGTGCCATGTCCAGAGACATGGCTGGCCAGTCCAAGACATTGATGTTGTTAGCAGCCAGGTAGTCCATACTAAAACGGGCGGTATGCGGACGTGCATTATCCTGTTGGAAGTGCTGAAGTTGTGGGTGTGCTCGAAACATCGGAACAACAATTGGTTGCAAGACATCATCACGGTAGGCTGCAGCATTAACGCGACCCCTGCAAATGTGTAGGGCGGTCCGGTGATGAAATGTGAAACCTCCCCACACTATTACACTTCCCAGACCCCATCGATTCGTTTCGAAGACGCAGCAGTCTGCAAGACGTTCCCCAAGACGTTCCCCAAGACGTCTCCGCACACGTTCAAGGCCATCAGCGTGATAAAGATGAAAGCGACTCTCATCACTGAAGAGCACACTTTGCCAGTCTACTCTTCTCCATGTCTGGTGTCCTTGAGCCCATATCAAACGCCGCTGACGGTGATGATCCCTGAGGATAGCTCCAACATAAGGTCGTCGTGCACGGAGTCCTACTTCTCTTAGACGACGTCTTACGCTGTTGGCACTTACTGGTCCTTGTCTTTCAACGACTGCTGCACCTGTTCGAGTCGCTGGGCGGAATCTGTCACGCAGATGAGTGACCCGGATGTAGCGGTCTTGAGTCTGGGTTGTAATGCGTTGTGGACCAGGACGTTGACGGTCACGTGTTGATCCAGTGACTCGAACACGTTCCACCAACCTTACAATAGTGAACTGACGACAATTGAAGTGCCTGGCAATAGCACGTGTAGACATGCCAGTACTGGACACTCCCATGGCTTCATTCCGTTGATTTTCAGTAAGTCTCGGCATCTCTAGCTCGATTCCTTCACACGTCCAACAACAAATTACGACAGATTGACGTTTCACAGTTCATGTACTGCACATTAAGTTGAAAACATGCTTTTAAAGGGCTCACGCACAATGCTGCACGTGAATATTGGGTTTTTCATGTGCATCTCGTGCAATTTTTTGTGCACACAGGCCGATATTTTTTGCGTGAAACAATAGTTCATAGTATTGCATAATATTATACATACAAAACCACCTAGTAATAAAATATTTGGGGAAAAAAGTGATGCGTTTTCCATAGCGCTCAGTATATAAGCTGTATCTTTAACTCTGTAGTTTGATATTTTAATACTGAAAAATTTGGTGTTCTGGGGGTCCTCCCCCATAAAATTTTGAAAATTTGGTGCTCTCTCCTCGCATTGGAGTGCATTCCTGGGCCTCAGCCCGGGTTGTAAGGTTGATTAGCTAAACTAACTGAGTATTTAAAACCCCACTTCAGGTAAGTTAGTTTAGAATGTAAATATAGTGTATTTAATTAAAGTACCGGTGCCATATTTACTATTTGTTTCAAACAGTGATTTACTTTGTAGCACGGATTTATTTTTAAGCTGTGGTAATGGTGTTAGTTTATGTGTTAATGATGTTTGTATTTTGATATTCTCTTTTGTTTTGAAAAACTTATATTATATTGAATTGTATATTTGCAGGGTTTTTATTGCTTGCCTGATTTAATTGATAAAGTATTGAATCCGTTATGGATTGTTTATTACAACGACCCCCAGACCCCCTCTACAACATTAAGGGCCATAACTCTGGAAGAAATTATTGGAAAGTGTTGACAATCAATAGCCGTCCTCCTCTCATGAAGTTAAACTCTGTGTATAAATTTCAAGTCAATCAGATATTAACTTTAGAGCATCCACAAGATATTTCAAAGTGATCAAGGGCCAAAACTCTGGTAGCAATTATCGGAAATAGTTGAAAATCAACAGGCTTCCTCATCTCATGACCTTAAACATTGTTATTACATGTATTATTTTTTTCCAATGTGTCCACAATGGCTTTCTTTTTGTCAATAAAAATTTTTTTTGTTACATTCTAAGTTTTAGCTGCTAAAGCAATATTTCCAATGTAAGAGATTTAAGAAAAGAAAGACAGTCAAGCTCTTTGAAGCTTGATAAATTATTATTATTATTATCATTATTATAAAATTTATATTGTAATCTTCCTAATTCACCCATATCCTAAGAAAATCAAACTCCCACTACAATTTGGGAAAGTGTAGTATAACAAAAACCCTAAAAGCAGATACATAATTAGGGAACTAGGCCTATAGCAAAATAGACAAATAGTGATAATTTCGGATTTTAATAGAAAAGAGAGGGCCTGCGCTTCTATTGCATCAGAACAAATGTGACTTTAATATAAGGAACAGACTAAAAGGGACCCACGGTGGTGCAGGATGGAGAGTCTGGCAAGGGACACCGTAAGAGTCGCTTGGATCAGGTGCCGAGTACACATTGGCATGCACATAAGCTAACCCTTGGCAGTTGGAATTTGTTATAACTGTGAGTCTTAGTGCCGCTGTCTGGGCAAAATTGCCCTCATAGCACACTGTATGGCGTATGTCCGTCTTCCTTAGCCCAGTTAACGTCCACTTGACACAAAATAGGTCATTCCCGGACTAACACATGGTTCAATTTTTATTTCAATAATTCGCCTGCATGTATATTAGAAGTGGGAGGACCATTGTATTATGGTCAGTATTACATATAGGTCAGTTTTAGGTAGGTCTAAGGTTGGTTTGAAGAAGTGCAGTCTTAGTGCAAAGAAATTTGGATAGTGTCATTTCATTGTCAAACACAAAATCAGGGTAATGTTGTGCAAGTTTGAAGACACAGGGAAAGTACAAAGTATGTTAAATAATTGTGATTTTTTTTCCATGAAACTTTATACTATTCTAAATGCTTTCGTAAAATTTATATAAAAATTGGTTAATATTTGTAATTATTGTCATATTTTTTATCGGTAGGACTTACTTGTCCCATCAGGCAGATTTCTACATGTATTTATAGGCCTACACCTTTTTGGGACCTGGGACTCTTTGTCTTAAAAGATACATGATGGGGAATAGATAAAAAGCTGGCAGTTCTTACTATAATAGTTAAAAACTAGATAGTGTAAAGGGAATTTGCTGAAAATTTCAGTCAAATTGATCCACTTTGAACCGAGAATTTAACGATTGAATTTTGGGCGTATACCCTCAATCATCATTACTCAAGTCGATACGATAAAAAAACATAGTCTCGATTATCCATTTTTTGATTTAATTATGAATGAGTGCTGAGCAGCAGATTTGATCCTAATCCAGAAAATATCGCAGGCTAGCGATGCCATCTTGAGGTGATTATGGTCTAATTAATGTCTAATTAATAATTTAGACAACATTTATGCAGTAATGAACCAAATAACGTTTATTTTGAAATGAAATGGGGTTTAACATCCTTCTTATCTGCACCTACTTGGGTAATACAGTTTGCCATCAGAGTATTTTTATCAAGGACAGCAGCACTACGAACTACTTTTATTTCGAATTCCGACTGTAAAGGGTTCTTTTCGGTCCTCGGTTTTTCGCACCTTCTGTTCTGCACCAGTGACAATTGGTAACCAACCAGGCAGGAAAATCCAGATGAACCTTATCGGCCAACAAGGCGAGCGAAAACGAGAGCTCCTGGTTAGCGAGCCAGCGTCTTACCCACTAAGCTCCACTTATTTATTTTTAACACCGTAATTCACCACACACTCTTCGCATACCCAACTTACGCTGTCTATAATTATATATGTTTTCGAATTTGGCCCCCCCCCCCCCCCCCCCCGCCACCGCCCTCATCAAAGTGCAAGAAATTGTCGCGCCGCAAAGGATGCATGTTCCTGATGCAACGACCGAGAGTTTACCACCTTGACATGATGTACGGAAAATAGCCCGCGGCCCTCCTTGTTTGTGATTGATGCCCCCCCCCCCCCCAACAACTCTGGCTACGGGTCTGTTCAAATGATTTTTCAAAAAGGGTGGAGTGGTTTTCGACGAGCTTATCGAGGACATATTTGGTGACACTTTCAAGCGATTATGTACAGAAAAAGAAAACACAAGGCAAAGTCGACTAGAAATGACATTCGTTGCATTAAAAGAGAGGGAGAGAAATGGGGATTAACGCCCACTTGACACAGATTAGGTCATTTCGGGACTAACATATGGTTCAATTTTATTTCAACACTTCGCTTGTACGTAGGGGTCTTTAGCAGTGGGAGGGCACCGGAGGACCTGGAGAAAACCCACGTGCTTGGAAGGGCGACCATACTCTTTGTCACGTACAACCTGGGAATCGAACCCAGACCAGTTGACTCAATAACAGACCTTGTAATACAGCGCGCACGCGCTAATCATTCGCCATCCACCTCCAGCGCAAAAGCATTTCAAATTTACCAACGCTAGCAAAGCTTATAGCATTGTTATTAACACCTGTTTCTCTATTGCATTAAAAACTTTTGTTATATTCTTTTTTGCAGTTTCATATGTTCACACAATATTTCCAAAAAAGAGATGTAAGAAATGAAAAACAGCCAAGTTCAAAGCGGAGCTAACTTAATAATTGTATTTTAGGTCTTTTAAGCTTGATAATTACAAATATACTGTTCATTTTTTTTTATATATAATAAACGATATTATATTTAATATATCTCATGCAATTTTATGTAATTGACACTCAGTTGTATGTATAAAAATTGCAAAAGAAGTATCTAAACGGCCAATTAAATCTCGTCGAAACATGAAATAGACATATTTTATGTTTATATAATGACGTGCCAAGGGGGCGATGCGAACAACTTTATTAAAAATAATAATTACATTTACATCTTCCATGTGACCGGCCTACGCCTAGAGTCGTATTTAAAGGGCCAATCTCGATTATGTTTTGGAGAATAAAACTGCAAAATTTTGTGTTAATAGCCTTTAAAATCCCCTAGCTTTGGGCCGAGAAGCTAACTCAATATACGTGATACGTTTTCAAACAACTTATACTCGTCAGTCTTCATCTGAAAACGGAGATCGGTGTGATAAGCAGTATTATACGGTGTCTGGATGAAACCAGACTTTTATTTTATAAAAATAACATGTAGGTGAAATTTACCTTTCGTTATCAGGTACAGGGGCCTGTTTCACGAAATTTTAACTAAGATAAAATCCAAATTTTAGTAATTTGATTGGATAATACTAGGTTGATTTTAGTGCTTAGCCAATCAAAATTGAAGTATCTACTAAAATTTAGATTTTAACTTTAATTAAGATTTCGAGAAACAGGGCCCTCTAAAGGCACGGCAATAGATTATCAGGTCAACCAGCGAAAAAAATGAATCGAAATCTTAAGAGTTGCGTATCCGGATGAGCGGTTTTGACGTTGACGTCAAAACGACTCAATATTTCGAACTGAAATTTTGAGACAAGGTAAATACACCTATCTCTCTATATTTTGGCGCTTAAATTTCATACGTACACATTTGTTTCTGATTCTGTTAAAATCCGGGATGTTCCCTTTAAAAAGAAATATTGCGAGTTTATACAAAATTGACAAATAATGATAAATTCGGATGTTAATCGGAGAGAATTTTGGATTATCGTGAAGACAATTACACCTCTGCACATCCCCAATGTGAACACAACTAGGTCGCTTGTGGGGAAATGTGACATAACAACTACTGAAATTCACTGTTCCAATACTAAAAAATCCTACAATACCAAAAATTGAATGTCTTTTAACACGGACCCGCTTTTCCTCCCTGCTTACACCCTACTGACCACTTTGAACCCTAGGTGGGGAAACACGGTTCTCAAACACAATGTAATGTCTTTATAATCTACTTCCTGTAACTGGTCCCTTCCGTAAAAGATCAACAAAACTCTTTATTCAATGATTCTATGAAATCAGTGTTTTAAATGTTTGATTTACAATCAAATTTTAAAACTTAATCTTAATCGTTGAGGAAGAGAAATTATAGGTTAGCTAATCTGACTTTTGAGAATGCCAATTTAGTCAACTACTAATTTCTAATTAGCTAGTTACCGATTAGACCTAATCACAGATTATTTTAGACACTGTTCGAAAATATCGGCCATATTATTTTAGACACCGTCCGACCTAATCACATATTATTTTAGACACCGTTCGAAAATATGGGCCTTAGCGTTATTTCATAAAACATAAACATGACGGAGTTGTACTTACTTGATTATGATTATTGGACATCTTTTTAATAATCACAAATTTTTGTGACAGCTTTCTAACACTAATAAATTTCCTGGTTGACTTAAAACTTACCCAAATCTCTATCATTCAGACAAATATACGAATTTGTACGTTGGGGTCTATATAGGGTGTTGGTGATCGAGACTAAAACATTCAAATGACTTTACATAAGTTATAAATAGACACACACTATTTATATATAACAATTACGATGGTTTAATAAACAAGATTTCACAAGTTCAATTACGTGTAGTAGGAGGGGCTTATGACTGGCGATAATGTATCTTAGGAATACAAAGCTCGCCAATTAGATAACAAGCCTCATCTCTCAACCCTCTGTGTTTCGAGATAAGAGATGGTGCTATATAGTTCCACGTAGCAAAACCCAACGCAAATCGCATCGGGCCTCCGTAAGCAAAATTGACAATATTTTTCATCGAAACAACGATTGCTTATTGTTATTTATTATAATATTTCTGCCACATCCAACTATATAATCCTACCTGAAACGGGTATAAATCATCATATTTAAAATCGAAGCCTTTTAAAGCGGTTACTAGGAACGCCATTTTTAAATGGGGGATAATAATAATAGTTTTATTCTCAACTACATGTACAAGCGTGACTATGGAAGTTACAACAAACATTTCACATTGCAATGCATAAGAGTATCTAACTACATATCTTACAAAATAACATTAATTTTCAAGACGAGTGGTACATATTAATCTAATCGGCAATATTTAATGTTACAAATCAATTAACAAAGCTATATTTATATTCCTCTTTTCTTAAATGCATTCAATACAAAACTTCCAACATTTCCATACTCTCTTCATTATTCATTAATACATTAAGTTGAATTAAATCAGTAATATGAGGTTTGATGAATGGTGAAAGATATCGTTGTCTCAAAGTATCATAAAATGGACTATACAATAAGAAATGTTTTTCATCTTCTACTAATTGAAGGTTGCAGTTTTTACATAATCTCTCATTACGATTAATGAAGGATTTACTGTATCTTCCCATTTCAACTTCCAGTTTATGTGCAATAAGTCTAAATTTACTGAGTGCACCCTTTCATCTTTTTTCAGTGCACATAAATAATTTTCCATGCTATAGGAATTCTTAATATTATAATAAAAATCATGTTTTGAATTTGATTTCATATGTCCATTTAGATGCTGAATAGTCTTACTCTGGTCAGTGTGTTTCCAGGACTGGATATATATATCATGTAATCGGGTTTTAAATAAGTGTGAAAAGAATTCTGTATTAAAATTTTCATTTTTTGCGGCAGTAAATATTTCACCTATTTCTTTTTCCTTTAGTATAATCTTGATTAGACTAAGCCATTTACTATTAGAAGTCTTCATCTCTGTGACCGCTAGTGACATTAATGAATTATAACATTTAACTTCAGATTCTATCCATGTCTTAACCATTCTATATTTCACATCTAGAAAGAGAGGAAATCTGCCTAGTTCAGCAAGAACAACTGAGTTAGTAGCCTTTTTGTGAATTTTCAAAATACTCTTACACAAATTTAAATGTAGCTTTTCAATTTTTAAAGTGTTATTAATGTTTGTGGTAATATAATCACCTCAAGCATGACATGCATACAAGGTAATAGGTTTGACTAATGAGTCAAACAGTTTAAATAATATATGAGGTGAAACATTATTATGAGAAAAAGCTTTTATAATCTTAAAGTATGCCTTCAATGATTTATCCAATAAATACCTAACGCCTTTACTAAGAGAACTAGATGACTGAACTGTGATACCTAGACAAATCGGCCCCGTTGTCGCGACGCAGGAGCGCCATCACGTCGTGATCTCTAAAACTATTATGGCCACGTCCGCCTTCATTTCTATCGGGTTTGGAGCTCAAAGTACGGCAATAAACTCGCTCTAACTTGACTGAATGAAAAATCTAACATACCTTTCGACTTTGTGGAATAACAATCTATAATTCTACTGATCTTTTTTTTGAAAATCTTATCGGATTCCTGAGAACAGATGTAGGCCTATTTTCTTCATCATCACCATCAAAACATTGAAGAATCCATTATGACGTAAATTTTATGTTAATTAGATTGCCATTACTTAGATTTTCCTTTTTCTCACTGTTTTATTGTCGATTTGGGATGATACGAATATTTAGTATATATTAAAGACGTCTCTATTCATTTGACCTCATTTGACGTTTAAACCTATATAATGTAGGCTACATGAATTTTAGGTACTATTTTTTTGCGGATGAATACAGCTGTTCTGTATTCTATTGAAGTGTCCAGCAAGAGAACTGCGCTCCTTATCACCATAATTGATTAAAATAATAATTCAATATCCTAATTTATATGCTTTGTATATTAATATAAATCAAACCAAATTATGCAATATATGCCATTTAATATGTATAGTGATTGTTTTACGTAGTATGTTGTTATGTTAATTTAATGCCATTGTATATATTTTTGCACTGTTGTATTCTTACAAGAAATACACATTCAGTCTGTAGCAGACGGCAAAATGTTAGAATCTTTTGGTGGAAGCGAACGTAAAATACAACTAACAAACAAAAACATTCAGAATAACTTGTCTACGATATCACGTGGACATAAAATTCTGAGAACGAACGATTCTAAATAAAACTAATGACCCTACATTATTATATGAACGTCTGGTCTTCATTAACATAATGTATAATTGGTTGTTATTAATTACGCATTTAGAATAGGCCAACTCCTAACATTGTCCGATGATAGTTACTTCCCTTTGCCAACTTCCTTTTCAAATAACAATTTATGGGATTGGTCGATAAAAATAGCACAATCATCAAGGGCGGATAACTTGAAAACGTGTCTCCCCCATAGATTAACCCAGGGTATAGTGGAATAGAACGGAATGAGTACACTGGGTAACCGTGGATGATTTGGAATGTGTTTAACCAGCTCTAACACATATGTGATAATGACTGGCACCAATATTGTCCTTTAACTTCCTGGATTATGGCCCCTGCGGATTCTCTAGAGGTTACAATTTTTTTTCAATTTTAAAAACCGTTTAAATATTTCACCATTCTACCATAATGAAGGTTGAATTCGAATTTCGGGAAAATCGAGATGAAACTGCCCAACAAAATAGCCACCCTTTGTACGCAAATTGTGTAAAAGTATGCAATACGAAGGTTGTCGACCCTCTAGAGGTCACAATTTTTATCCGATTCTGATGAAACTTAAAACCTATCTTTATATCCCAAAGATCTCAGCCCCTTTTGATATTTGCGCATTTCAGACCATAACTTTCTGGATTATTGCCCCTGATTGTACAAAAAAATCCCGTTTGTTTATGACCTCTGACGCGACCTATCGCTACAAACGGTCAGATCTTCGTGTAGTGTAGGCCAACGAAAATATAAAAAAACGAAACTAAATATAGATCTGTATTTTAATCAGATTGGATACTTTATGAAAGATTAGATAAAGATCTAGCAGTTCTCGCTATAATAGTTATAAAGGGGATATACTAAACATTTTAATCAAAATGCCTCACTCTAAGCCGAGAAAATTTTATCATAAAATCACTGTAGCCTCGATTGTCATTGTTACCGCTGTCACGAAGTCTCGATTATCCAGTTTTGCTTTTAATCATCAACGGACGTTGAATAGCAGATCGGATTGCAATCCGATGGCATTGAGAGTTGATTATGGTCTGGATAAGTTAAACATGCATTATGCAAGAGCAAAATCTGCTTATTACAAGTCTTTCTTTAGGCCTGAAATGTTATCTAAATTATCAATTAGACATTAATTAACTTATCCAGACCATAATAAACTCTCGATGTCAAGGCTAGCCTTCGATGTTGGCTGGATTAGATTCCTATATGCCGCTAACGGCCGTTGACAATTAAATCAAGAAAAGCGGATATTCGAGACTTGCTGTTTACATTAATGATTTTAGTAATGATGACCGAGACTATGCAATATTTCACGAGCTTCTTTCTCGGCTCATGGTGGATCAATTTGACTGAAATTTTCAGCAGATTACCTTTAGTCTATCTAGTTTTTAACTATTATAGCGAGAACTCCCATCTCGTTATCTTATCTCCCATAATGTATCTTTAATTAATGTCTAATTAATAATTTAGATAACATTTCAGGCCTAAAGAAAGACCTGCAATAGGTAGATTTACCTTTTGCATAATGCGTGTTTAATGCGAAATAAAATATTGTCTATACAACAACAAATACCATGTTTAGAACGCTTACCTCAAGCTGTATACACTCTGTAAGCTGTAACTGAAAGAAGATGAGACTCGAAGAGAAGTGCACGTGTCAGTAAGAGATCACAACATAATGATAAGTTTACCTGAAGCTACAAACTGGTATTTACCGTTAATACGACATAATTTCAACTCACCATGTCCAATATACTTTATTCTTATGTTATTGATAAAATATATCTAACAGATTAGTCACTTCCCTACGTATGTATTAGAGTATCCAATCCCGTACCTATTGCTATATGTTTTAATTATGATATCTAATGAAAGAGCATATGTATACAATGTAGTTTTAAATAATTGATGATTTTATTAGTTAATAAATCATGTAAATAATAAATAACAGAAACCAATAAATAAATAAATATCAGCTAATTAATCTTTTAAATCCTATGTTCCCAACCTCTGGGTACCGCTCCCACCCCCGTCCAAACAAATCTGAAATGGGGGTTAACAGTAGTTTTGCAACGACTGGGCTAAGGAAGACACCCATACACGGGCGGGTCCAGGAATGTTTGCAGGAGGGGGTCTGCCAGGTTCCAGTTAAGGACATTTGACAGTTTACAATGCATGATGCCATCATCGTCTTCAAATTACGTAGGCATACATAAACACTGACCTTTTTAAAGAGATAAATCCAACATCCCGTGTGATGTCAATTTTTATTATGAATTAATAGGATCACATTGTGATTCCATTTCATTGATGCAAAGCATTAATTGTGATATCACAAATGTCTATATCATTATTTTGCACTTAGAATGCCAATCCCATCCCACCATCTGATAATAAAGGATAAAGAACACTACCCTGTTACATTTTTTTTTTTATGTTGATGACTCGCCAAACAAATTTTAAACATGCAGTAATTATCGAATACTGTATAATGCTTGGAAACCGGGCACCCCACCACTACCACCGAAAATTTTAAGAGGTGTCCTATAGTCAACTTCAATTGGTCAAACATGGTCACATCGATCTCCACTCTGCAACACTAACGGAATCTGAACCACTGGGACATAAAGGGGTCGGAAAGTTGCCCCCCGCCCCTTCCCTCTTAATTACGAGCCCTGGAATTGACGGAGACTTAAGCTTTTTCGAAGAGCGTCACCACAAGAAAAAGAACAAGAAAAATAAGATAAGTAGCGGGCATTTGGTAATCGTGGAAATTCCGGGCTATAAAGGATCTCCCCCCACCCACCCTATAAACAAATACAATACAATACGCGAGAACATTAACTTGTTGAGCTCCTCTCCGCCACCCCCGCCCTTACACATCGTGCGCAGTGTTTTGTTTAATCAGACCTAATCCCACTAAAACTCTGCCGCTGACTGGCTCATGTTTCCTGTCACAAGATAGCCTAACTGGTTAACAGTGGGCAAATACCCCCCCCCCCCCGAACGCCCCTTCTCAGTCGATACCTGCCCATAAAACAAACCCGCGGACAAGACAAACAAACTACACAACTGATATATTTTTGTATCGACCCCTCACTATTTCTAAGATAAGATACCGGTCTTGACGGTGGTCGTCTGTTGAAAGGTGTTCATCAAGTAGGTCATTCTTATCTTTAATTCAAAATGTATAATGCACGATCAAATAAACATGTCTGGTTATGGAATTATGAAAAATAATTAAAATGACATTTTATGGATGTAGAATTTGCTTAAAAGTTCAAAAATTGTCTAGAAAACCAACCGAAATTACACAAAAATCAGATGACGCTTAGCTCCTTCACAATGACTGCTCCCTGCGAGCTCGCGCTTATTGAAATAAAGAAGAGTTTAGGCGACATCCGGGCATCTTTCCCCAGTTCGGGAGGTCGCCATTTTACTGTTGAGACGCGCACATTGCAGACCACGCTTATACACGAGTTTGTTGCATTTTCTGTCTTTTTAATACTTTTCATGTTTTGTATTTGATACTTTGTTGACTCTAGTTTTATTTTCAGGTAAAATCTCACCATGACAACTGCAGGAGTGACGGAGATGGGAATGCGACGGCCTTTCGATCCTGTGGCTCACGAGTTGGATCCTAGTTTTCGACTCACGAAGTTCGCTGACCTAAAGGGATGAGGGTGTAAAGTCCCCCAAGAAGCACTGCTCAAGCTTTTAGAGGGACTTAACAATGACAGCGAAACACAGGATCCGGAATCGTCGCATTTCCAATACATGGGAAACACGCCACGTATTGGTAAGTTGCAAATAATTAAGAAAAATTCAATTATATTGACCCAAAGCGTATGAAAATCTCGATTCCCAAAATGGCTCGATTCCCGCCGTTCGAGCTCAGATTTTTGCAGGGTTTCAACTAAATAATGTACAATTGCAATTGAATATTAAGTGTCTTGATCAATTCTGTTTTGTGCAATGTCATGTTTGTCAAAATTTTATAGAATTTGCAAAAAATATTGGTTGTTAAATAGTCCTTTCGGGCCACAAATTTCCAATATGGCGGCAAGTCATCACCGGCACCGATTTCTTTGTCACGTGGTTGTCTGTAATCTATGATATCACGTGACATAAACATAAACTTTGAAACTTGCACCATACTGACAATATTTAATCGAATAATTTTCGTATGTCCAATAGTAGAAAACTTTAAATTATGAGTGTTGATATAGACATGGGGTAAATAAAAAAGTTTTAATAGATTTTATAGAGTAGGATATTATTATTCTGAAAATAACTGAGTTAATTTATTTTTTAGGAAAACATTGAACACTAGTTAACCAAAAATCTGATGTTGTATCATTCATTGATTGAACTAAATCCACCATTTGTCAATGAAATTAATACAAGCCTTTGTTTGTTTGTTTTTTTACAGGTATTGGAATGGACTCATCCGTGACACCATTAAGACATGGGGGTTTGTCTTTGGTGCAGACTACAGATTTCTTCTATCCGCTGGTAGATGATCCATACATGATGGTATGATGTTTTATTAAGGCAGTTCATTGGATTCCATTTGTCTTTGGGGGCGAGGGTGGATGGCCTAATGGTTAGCACATGCCTGTATCATAAGGCCTGTCATTGTGTCAACTGGCGTGGTTTCAAATCCCCGGTTGTACGTTACAAGGAGTAGGGTCGTCTGTCCAACCTCGTGGGTTTTCTCCAGGTCCCCCGGTTTCCTCCCACGACTAAAGACACCTATGCGCAAGCGAATTATTCAAATAAAATTGAACCACATGTTAGTCCCAAAATGACCTAGTTTGTGTCAAGTGGACGTTAAACCCCATTTCTCTCTCTCTAGGAAAGTAGTACACTACAGGATTTTTAAAGCTCTGGAGATGCTCATTGTGGCACAAAAATGTATTCCACTGAATTTTGATGTTTTGAAAATGGAAAAGTTACATTATCTTTTGATGGTAAATAGAAGAGGGTAGGTGTTCTGTACATGTAGCTTGTTTTCCAGTTGTGGGTACAGAGAATGAATGGTTTTCACTTTCCTTATGATAATTTGTTATTCGGTGAGAGATAACTTGTGCTAATTTAGTCTGTGAATGGAATTTAGAGATTGAAAATAAACTTACACCCTGGTAGTTAGGGGTGAAACAATTCACCGGTGAACCATTCTGTCACGATTTTTCCCTAAAAATGATGAACGATACTTTTTATAATAAGATGATAACCGCGATTTTTTTTTTTTCAATTTTGGGTTCACGGTATATTTCACACTGTATCATCGTGGCACGGTGTATTGTTTCAGTCCTACTGGTAGGTATCAAGCATACAAATTTACTAGGGATAATCTATTCGACATTCTGGAATTGGGTCTCTCAATCCCAAAAATAGTGACAATTGAATGAAAAGGAGGATTTCAGGCTAAAACACTCGCTCCTACTAAAATATCTAAATCAGAATGATAATTGTAATTATATGATTCAGGGGAAGATAACTTGTGCTAATGTTCTAAGTGATTTATATGCTATGGGTGTGACAGACTGTGACAATATGTTGATGTTACTTGGTGTTAGTAACAAGATGTCTACCAAAGAAAGAGATGTGATTGTTCCCATGTTAATGAGGGGCTTTAAGGTAAATTATTCTTTAATAACTCATTAGATGTAAGTATTAGATGTATAAATTGGCTCAGATCTGTTTATTATAAGTGATTGATATCAACGTTTTAGTGTAATTTAATAATTATATTACGTTCACATGAGCCTTGCGTTATTTTTTTGCATTGATACTCTTTTTAAGATGAATTTTTATAGCTAAGAAGTCTAATAATTTGAGGGGGATTGGGTGGCCGAATGGTTAGCACATGCGCGCTGTATCATAAGGTCTATCATTGAGTCAACTGGCGGGGTTTTGATTCCCCGGTTGCACGTGACAAGGAGTAGGGTCGTCTGTCCAACCTCGTGGGATTTCTCTGGGTCCTCCGGTTTCCTCCCACTGCTAGCGAATTATTGAAATAAAAAATTGAACCATGTGTTAGTCCCGAAATGACCTAGTTTGTGTAATAATAGTGTAGTAATGATGTATTGAATGTATGATAATTTTGTTAATGTTAGGATTGTGCAGAAGAAGGTGGAACCCATGTTACAGGAGGTCAAACAGTTCTAAATCCATGGATGACAATAGGGGGTGTGGCTACCACTGTCTGTCAACCCAATGAATACATCATGTAAGTATATTTATTGGACTTGTTCAATATTCTTTAAACTAGGAGGTTAAACCGCAGTTCTTGTCAAGATAAAAGTTGCTCAGAGATGTTCAATTCCTGGTAAACAAAATTTTGAAACATCTACCCTGCTTTGGAGGCTAAAGTTCTCACCCAATCGACTTGGCAACCGATATTTAGGATTATATGAATGTTTTATTATTATAGGCCAGATAATGCTGGAGATGTTTTAGTCATGTTTTGTTGCCTAGCAACCTATCTTTAGAATTAAATGAATGTTTTATTATTATAGGACAGATAATGCTGGAGATGTGTTAGTCATTTTTTGTTGCCTAGTAACCTATGTTTAGAATTAAATGAATGTTTTATTATTATAGGACAGATAATGCTGGAGATGTGTTAGTCATTTTTTGTTGCCTAGTAACCTATGTTTAGAATTAAATGAAAGTTTTATTATTGTAGGCCTGATAATGCTGTAGCTGGAGATGTGTTAGTATTAACGAAACCTCTCGGTACACAAGTAGCTGTCAACGCTTACACATGGTTAGATCAACCGGAGCGATGGAATCGTATTAAACTGGTAGTCAGTGAAGATGATGTACGTAAAGCGTATCAACGTGCTATGTTCAGTATGGCCAGATTAAACAGAACAGGTATAATATACTAATACTTGATTAGTTGTTCGGATGGTACAAAAAAACCGAGGTCCTGTGTAGCCTACACATTCGCTTTCACGTGGAAGAAACTTTGACAGTTGGAATTTGAAATAAGAGTGGGTGGTAGTGCTGCTGTCCGAGCAATATTTACCTTGTCTTTATTAGACTTGTGGAAGCAGAACAGTAGGATGAATAACCCTGACTGACTGAAGTTGTTTCTTTAATGTCTGCTTTAATAATGATAATACATTCTTAATATAGCGCATTCTACAAACATAACATAGATATAACTAAAAATGCATGGCAAGTTCTCAACGCGCTTTACAGAGACATGGGTTATAAAAATATATTATGATTTAAAAATTCAACGATGACATGGTGTTCATATAATAACGTCTAGTAAGATATTTCGTCACACGATTCAGAATTGATCAGCAAGTGAAATGACGATTGAAGAGCATGGTTTTAATTGAACGTTTAAAAGTATCAATGTCATTCTCAGCGCGAATCTCAGTAGGGAGATTATTCCATAATGAAGGTGCATAGTGCCGAAAAATCCTATTTCCATAAAATTTATTGTTCGTTCTCTTGTGTTCTCCGATGGGATAGTCCAAAGATGGAGCCTGGTTGAATCTGGTAGATTTCGGTGGTTGTTTTACGGACAAGAGTTCGCTCAGATAGGCCGGAGCCATATTTGAAGTGATATCACAGACAAGACGTAGGAGAACTGAAGCTTCTTCCTGTATATTAGAATATGATTTTGCAATCGTTCCATTTAGGTAGATCCTTGCCAAGCCTTCAATTGTTAAACCCCATTTCATTTTCTTTTCATACTTGACAAAATGATATGAACTGGAGTTTAACATTCAAGACCTTGGCAAGAACCGATATCATAGTCATTCAGTTAGGACGAAAAACCGAGCTGGAATTGTCCTTTCATTTTTAAAGATTACTATTTTATTTTTATATTTTTCAAGGTGCTAGACTCATGCATAAATATAATGGTCATGGAGCTACAGATGTCACTGGTTTTGGTTTATTGGGTCATGCTAATAACCTTGCCAAAATACAGAAAAACGAAGTTGGTTTTGTGATCCATAATTTACCGGTTATAGCCAAGATGGCGTCTATTAGTAAAGCTTGTGGTAATATGTTTGGTTTGCTACAAGGTCATTCAGCAGAAACGTCAGGTACCTATAAATTATTTATTATTAAATATTACACTCTGACACACCCATATTTTCCTGTGGACGTATATCAGTTCCTCTCGATATTCGCACATTTCAGACCATAACTTCCTGGATTATGACCAAATGATTAGCGCATGTGCGTTGTATCACAACTGGTGTGGTTTCAATTCCCCGGTTGTACATAACAAGGAGTAGGGTCGTCTGTCCAGCCTCATGGGTTCTCTCTGGGTCCTACGGTTTCCTCCTACTGCTAAAGACCGCTACACACATGCGAATTATTGAAATAAAATTGAACCATATGTTAGTCCTGAAATTACCTAGTTTGTGTTTAGTGGATGTTTAACCCCATCTCTCTCTTCTCTTTTTATATGGCCAAATTTAGTCAATAAATTATTATGGTATGTTTTTAATATTTATAACTTGGTTGTTCCACTTTAATGTTCGTTTAAAGTTAGACATTAAATTGTTATGTCTCACACATGCTTTATAATATTGATTCTGAAGATTTTGTCATTGAATCCACGGGAGCTGTAAATATTTGTAATGTTGTCAAATATAGAGCTAGGGATTGTTAATTATTTTGTGAACCAAATTTTAGGTCAGGATGTTGATAATTTAGTAGTTTTTTAAAATATTTTGTGTTGATATTTCTTGAACGGAGAGGTAGGTCAGAAAGTAAACAGGAGGGGTAGGTCAGAAAGTGAATGGAGGGGTAGGTCAGAAAGTGAACGGGAGGGGTACATGTAGGTTAGAAAGTGAACAGGAGGGGTACATGTAGGTTAGAAAGTGAACAGGAGGGGTACATGTAGGTCTGAAAGTGAACGGAGTGGTAGGTCAGAATGTGTAGTATGGATTGTTGAATATTTTTGTGTTTATTTTTATTTTCCAGGTGGATTATTGATCTGTCTACCAAGGGAACAAGCAGCAGCCTTCTGTAAAGATATTGAGAAACAGGAAGGTTACCAATCATGGATTATAGGAATCGTTGAGAAAGGAAATCGTACAGCTAGAATAATAGATAAACCAAGAGTTATTGAAGTACCTGCTAAGGATCGTGACGGTGAATTGTGGTAGTCAACCACATTTAATAAGATTTTACAAAAATAAAAAAACAAAACTTTAGATATCATTTCAGTTGAAAAACAATAAAACACATGGTACTGCTTTAAAGTACACCATTTACTAAGTGTTACCATATAAAAACCATTACCATTGGTGTATTTTCGATAAAACAACCAATCACAGAAGTTTATAGAAAATACCAATACTTTTCAAAAGGCCATTAACATTGGTGTATTTATAACCAAACAACCTATCAGAAAGTTATGAGAGAATTCAGATAGTTTTTAAAAGACCATTGTGATTGGTGTATTTATAATATGACCAAATAATACAGTATAACCAATCACAGACGTTTATTAAGAATTTAAACAATTTTTAAAGATTTATAATAAAATAACCAATTACTGAAGTTTTTACAGAATCAATTAAAATGTTTGTATGTCCATCACTATGGCAACTGATTATCTATCCAAGTGTTTACAGTTAGATAAAAACTTTAATAATTTGTAAATTTTGATGTTAAAAGTGCTGAAATATTAATCTTGTAATCATGTATGTGCTTTTCATTATAACAAATAATTGGGGTTTTTTATAATGTATAACTGTGTTGTGAAATATTCTCTTGAAGCATAGTGCTAAACTGCTTGAACTAAGTATAAACTTATTACTGTAGTTGTCATAAATACTGGTAATGCTTTACTTATTGTATGTTTGTTCAGTCAAACTGAACCCTTTGTTTAACTTTCATAGTTTTATATAACAAAATGCTGTCCATGTATGTAAACGTATATCACTGTGGGGTTTTACAAATCTTTATACCTTTCTTAAAAGCTTAAATCTGTGAATTAAGTTTCTCTCCATTTTATCTGTGGGTTTTGCAAAGGTGTAAAGCAAGGAATTAAATATTTGTTTCTGATTTTGATCTTTTTCTCAGAAAATGAGAAATACAATATTTGTTTGTGATAATGGTTCGAGTAGAAATCATTTTCTTAATTATCTATCCCTGTGTTCAATCATATACTTTTATATAGACTTGATTTCAAATTGAGGAATTAGCCTTGTTCATCGACAAGTTTCGTTCAGAGATGAAATGAAATGGGGTATTTTAACGTCCTATTTTTCGACACCAATTGAGCTAATGAAGACGCGAGTTTCTTTCAGCCTTATAATTACTTTCTATTTGATAGCAGAACCTGGCTTATTTGTCAATTTGAAATCAACTCAAGATATTCAGAATCTGTTTTAGTATTCAAGGCATTTATTTGTATATTTTTGTGTCAGTTTTTTGCACAGCTATTCTCTGTTTTTATAGAGAAAAAAAAAATCCCACTTCCTCTTATAAGTCTGAATGATATTAAAACATTTTCAAACTGAATTGATCGCCAAAAAAAATAGCAATATGTAAAACAAAAAAAAAAGAAAAAAACCAATAGGTCAAAATTTGATTTTAACACTTGATTTTAAATAAATCATTTTTTGCGGCTGCATTTGGTATTAACTTGACCCTGAGCAAGTCATGTGATCACCAGTTTAGAGCCATATAAGGAGAGGGGGTCATCTGTTACGAATCTTTCTTAATGAAGTTTTTCCATAAAAGACGAAAGTTGGGAGGAAAAATGGACAATCGAAAGATTTGAGACGATGACCTTTGATCCTTGCTCATTTTTATCATTATTTCATCCGTCTTCATGTTAATTTGTTATAGAAATAAAATTTATAATGGGAGTACAATTTAATTCTGCCGTTTTTGTTTTCTTTTGTCCGCATGTGTTTTTAGATTGTAAGGTCTGTCATGAGTCCAGTGGTGTGGATACGATGCCAAGCTTGTATGTGACGAGGAGTAGGGTTACCTGCCCAACAGTGTGGTCGTCCTGACACTTCTAATGAAATGAAATGAGGTTTAACATCCTACAGTTGCTAAATGGTGGTAATTGTAGGCTACGGCCTACTCTTATATCAAATTCCAACTTTCAAGTGATCTTAGGTGCATGCCTATGTGTACACTGGAACTCAGTTTTTCATACCATCTAAACGACGAGACAGGTGCACCACTGACAAGGTGAAACCACTCTAGAAAATCCTTATGAACTTTTGGAGCCAGCAACGGGATCTAACCTGCGATCTCCAGGTTCCAAAGCATCAACAAATCAAATGTGCTTACATTTAGATTTCATGTAGTACATAGCTGATCATCACTCGCAGGCATAATTTTTTCCGTTTTAATGGATTTCCGCTATTATTCGTTCTCGTGATTCGCCTGAATTTGCAATAAAAAAATGTGTGTGTGTGTGGGGGCGGGGGGTGTTAATACATGTCAACCAAGTCTTGAGAGGGAGATGAGTTTTAAGTTCATTAAAAACTCAGGCCTTCACTTCCAACTGGTTGTTAAAAGTAAACAGTTTGTTTCATTATCAAGTCTCTTGTCTGTTATTACCATATAATTAAACAATTAGTTTTTTTGCACAGCTATTGGATGATATAGACAAGCCAACAGTGAGGCTGTCGTCCCCCGCCAAAATCTCTTAAATAAAACGCACATTTATTTTTTTCAAAAGAATCAAGCAATCAAACTGATTATCAACCATACACTAAGTTTCATCACTCTCTATCAGATAGAATCAAAGTTATCTTGTCCCAAAGCAGCGACCAATGAAATTTCTTAGCTCTGCTTAGCTTCAGCTCCAAATGTTAATCATTGAACTCAGTCAAGACATTCACCTAATGAACATCTACATCAAGTTGAAACATTCTACCTCAATTAAAGGAAGAGTTATGTTCCCAAGTCTTGACCAATCAAATTGCTTATAGCTCTGCTTACCCTGAGCAGAAAAGGCTGGTCAGTGGGTCAAGTTATTCACCTAATGAACATTGTCTCAAATAGAAGTAGTTTTATCTTCTAAAGATGTAACCCACAATGAACAAAATGAAATGGGGTTTAACGTCCTACTGTTCTGCTCCTATGCTGGGCTAATGAAGACGGGCATACGCCATACAGTGTGCTATGAGGGAAATTTTGCCCGGGCAGCGGCACTATCGCCTACTTTTATATCAAATTCCAACTGCCAAGGGATCTTTTATGTGCATTCCAATGTATACATGGGACCTCGGTTTTCCGTGTCATCAAAAGGACTAGACAGCTGTCCTTGTCAGGCCCTCCCATGATGAACAAATCCATCTCAATAGCCCTCTGCTTTCTCCAAAGGGGGGGGGGGCGATATAATTTGAATGGAAAACAGTTGTTTTTTTTAGAAAAATAAGTTTATTTTTAACAAACAAAATTGTGTACAAGCATACAAAAAACAAATTAGATATACAAATCACCAGACTTTCATACTACTTTAACACAGACTAACATTATATATATAAATAAATCCAATCAGTTTCCATGACAACTGATATATTCTAATCTAAAGCCATTTATTTTTGTATCATTTTTTCACCCAGCTAAATTAAATGGAAATCCAAATCGATTTCCATAGCAACATGACAACAGATACTTGGTCTATTATACACGTTTTCTTTTATTTTTTTTTATCTAAAGCCATTTATATTTGCATTTTTTTTAACCTAGCTAAATTTAACTGTTTGGAACATAAATAAATTAATTATAGTATGAACTTTGACCTTTTTACCATGATCCACAATACCGTGTTCTTCAAGCAAAAGATTATTCACGGTAAGTGCTAAATGATAAGGCCAGCTCAATTTTTTGTCATAGGTCACAAGATATAAACAGGGCTAGCACTATTCCCAACCCTAACCCTGCTCCTAGCCCCAATGCTTACCCTAACCGACAATCTCAGCAACAATCACGTGCCCTAACCTTATTTACATCTCAGCGACCTTGACAAAAATTGAGCTGGCCTTAACAAATAGATTCAGCCATTATTCATGCCTGCTTCTCATTTGTAATGAGTGGTGTCTGAGAGATTACTTTGGTTTTTTTTGATCAAAGAGTAATAAAAATACAGGTAATCTACGGGCTTACCCCAACCCATCAATAAGTTCTACTGTTTGAAAATCTGATTAAAACACAGATTTCGTTTTTTATAGTTCAAAATTTTATTTTACGAATAGTCTGTGGAGTGGAATTCTTATCGACTGTCTGCGGGTTAGACAATCACAGCGATAGAAAACAAAGCAAAAGTTGCATTTCAGAATAACCCACTTGATACACCGACACTGATTGGTTGATCGAATGACTAACATGATATGGTCACAAGCTGCATGTATGACCTCTGACACGATCTCCCACTACAACATAGTGAAGGTCAATGAAATTATAAAAACACAAAACGAAATATTGATCTGTATTTCAATCAGGTTGATTGATCAACGACAATCTGATTAAAATACAAATCAATATTTCGTTTCGATGACCTACGCTACATGAAGATCTGAACGGTTGTACTGGAAGGTCGCGTCAGGGGTCGTACGAGCGGCTTTTGAACCTATGACATCAGACATTGATTAATCAATCAGTGTTGAAGTTTCTAGTGGTTTACCCACAGTTCCGTGCATCGCACGGCAAGAACTCGCCGTTACAGACTGTCAAGTACAACCAGGGATTCAAAACCACTCCAGTCGACTCAATGACAGACTTTATGATACAGCGCGCGCGCTAACCATTCAGTCATCCAACCCCCCGGTAATATAACAACTCTTCCAGATCCTTGTGTAGTACAGACAATTAAAACAAAATTTTGAACTATAAGAAATGAAAGGAAATAGGATCTGTGTTTTAATTAGTTTGTTTGATCAAGGAGTTTTATACAGGTATCACTTTCATTCTATCAACTACCTTACAACCTTTTATCACACACTGATACATACTATAATATTATAAACATCACATATCACCACGACAACCAATATATAACTATATATATAACAGCAATCAATCATCGTCTACCTCGACGTTTCATGGCCGCCACACACTGTGGACAAAACCATTTACCTTTCGGGGCTTGGAATAAACCAACACAACCATAATGGAACCATTCTATGGGACACTGAAATGATAAATTTTGTCACACCAATATTAAATGGTATTTTATCCTGGGTTTCAGGGGGTTATATCATCACTGGGAAACACCATATTTCATAATATTTAAAGGGGCATTATGTAAGATTAGATAAAGAGCTGGCAGTTCTCACTATAACAGTTAACCAGCAGCTGCCAGGCAGGATACGCCCACATTTTCGAGAGATGGATAGAGAACAAGCTAAGAAGAAAGTGATTTTTCCTACAATCAAGGGCCATAATTCAGGAAATTAAAATTCGATATGCGCAAATATCGAAAGGAACCGAGATCTTTGTGTTATAAACTTACATTTCAAGTTTCAACAAAATCGGAGAAAAATTGTGACTTCTATAGGGTCCACAACCTTGATATACCATATTTTTACGCTATTTGAGAATGAATGGCGGCCATTTTGTCTGTCTGATATGCGCGAATATCGAAAGGAACCGAGATCTTTGGGTTATAAACTTAAATTTCAAGTTTCAACAAAATCGGATAAAAATTGTGACCTCTATAGGGTCCACAACCTTGATATACCATATTTTTACGCCAATTGAAGACGAACGGTGGCCATTTTGTCTGACAATTTTGGGGCGATTTTCACAAAATTCAAACTCAACTGTCCTTAGGGTGTAACGGTAATATAATAATACGGTTTTTTTAAATCGGATAAAAATTATGACCTCTATAGGGTCCACAAGCTAAAAACGCGATTTTTCGTACAATCAGGGGCCATAATTCAGGAAGTTACGGTCCGATATGGGCAAATATTGAAAGGAACCGAGATCTTTGTGTTATAAACTTACATTTCAAGTTTCAACAAAATCAGATAAAAATTGTGACCTCTATAGTGTCCACAAGCTAAAAACTTGATTTTTCGTACAAACAGGGGCCATAATCCATGAAGTTTTGATCCGATACATGCCAATATCAAAAGCAGCCGAGATATTTTGGAGATAAACCTATATTTCAAGTTTCGTCAAAATCGGATAAGAATTGTGACATGTAGAGTGTCCACAAACAATTGTGGACGGACAGACGTCCAGACGGGCAGGGGCGACAGCATAATACGTCCACATGAAAATGTGGGCGTATAAAAACTAGATAATGTAAAGGGAATATGCTGAAAATTCCAGTTTATTTACTTCATTCTGAACCGAGATATTAGCGATTGAATTTTAGGCCTAGCCTCAATCATCATTACTAAAGTCGGTACCATAAAAAAACATAGTCTTGATTATCCATTTTTGCATTTAATCATCAATGAGTGTTTAGCAGCAGATCGGATTCAAATCTAGTGAAAATCGAACACATAAGATGATATTGAGAGTTGATTATGGTCTGGATAAGTTAATTAATGTCTAATTAATAATTTAGATAACATTTCAGGCCTAAAGAAAGACTTGCAATAGGCAGATTGACCTATGTTTAAAAGACAGTCTTCATTCATCTGAGAAGAAAAAATCAAACAAAATGTCTACTCAAGAGAGTTTATTTCAACAAAGGTATTTCCTCGTATTAACTGATTCAGCTATCAAAGCTGATTCTTTTCGGCATAAGTAAGGCCAAACAATTCAACATAAATACAACAAAAATATCGCCACAATTACACCACCCTGAAGACTAACATACAGTTCAATTTTATTTCAATAATTCGCTTGTGTGTAGGGGTCTTTAGCAGTGGGAGGAAACCTGGAGAACCAGGAGAAAACCCACGAGGTTGGACAGGCAACCCTACTCCTTGTCACGTGCAGCCGGGAAATCGATACCGCACCAGTTGACTCAATTGACAGATTTTGTGATACAGCGCGCATGTGCTAACCATTCAGCCATCCAACCCCCCCCCCCCCTTCCTGAAGACTAGCCACCGGCCGACACAAGTATAAGGAGTGAAATTTATCAATGAATTTGTTGTGACTCCAAGCGGTGGAGTGAGAGGATGGATTACAGAGAGACAACTTACATCTTCATTATCACAGCCGACCATATCACCATAAGATACTTCATTACACAAACAATATCGTGGTTCATTCGGGTCACTCTGCCACGTATCGACAACTTGTAATTCTGCTGTTGTATCTTCTACTGGAGGTACAGGCGGTGTGGGTTCCGGGATTACAGGGGTTGGTGTAGGTGGTGCAGCAGTTGTTGTGTTGGGTGTCGTGGCTGTTTGTTGTAAGGCCAATGCAGCGGCCTTTGATGTTTGTCTGAAAATAAAATATTAAAAAATAAAGAATTGATTAAATTATCTCCTTTAACATACAGAGCTAAATTCGCAGATCTTTCTTAAGGCCTGAAATGCTATATAAACCTTTTAGACTTTTATTGACATAACAAGAATTTAATCAACTCTCGATGCCATCGGATATCTCCAATATTATGTAGATTAGAACGGTTCAGCCATATTTTGATTTAATCTAAAAATGGTGAAGCGAGGCTAGCTTCGAACAGCCAGTGCGGTGGCTGCAATTTATGCAAGCAACTTGTCAAAGCTTCAAAAGCTAATATATTTGCTTGCAATGGAGCAATTTAAACGAAATTTTTAATAAATTCATTTTGCATTATCTATTTTCAAAATTTTATAGTAAGAATGACCAGGCCCCGAGTTCACAAAGCATTCTCAGACTTAAGTTGAGAATTTGCTCAACTTTCAATCACTGTTTATGAGAAATATCTTTGATCCAGATACACAAAACTTTGCACATAGATTCTTATTGATATATCTGATACATTAAAACAACAAAATTATTATAAAGGGCTATATTTTAGTTAAAATAACGTGAACAATTTTAAGTAAATTCTCAACTTAAGTCTGAGAATGCTTTGTGAACTCGGGGCCAGATCTTTACCTAAATCTTACTTAATGCATCTTTAAAGTCTCTGAGCATTATTTAGAAGATATTTGAACCCCTTGTTAAAAATGAAATGAAATGGGGTTTAACGTCCTACTGTTCTGCTCTGAACTGGGCTAATGAAGATGGGTATAAACCATTCAGTGTGCTATGAGGGAAATTTTGCCTGGACAGCGGCGCTACGGCCTAATCTTATATCGAATTCCAACTGTCAAGGGATCTTTTACGTGCACGCCAATGTGTACACGGGGACCTCGTTTTTTCGTCCCATCCGAACGACTAGACAGCTGAATTGTCAGGCCCTCCGTCCTGCATCACTGTCAAAGGGGAACCACGCCGAAAAATCTGGATGAACTTTCTAGGCCATTGCAGGGATCGAACACCCGACCTCGAGGCTAGCGAGCCAGCGTCTTACGCACTTAGCCACCGCGATCCCCGAACCCCTTGTTAACTATATTGTGAAAGTTGAATCTCTAGATGGCATATCAGTCCAATAATAGTTCACAATTCCATTCCATATTTACAAAGATATACTTGAAGTTCTGGCAAGACATACTACAGCTGAAATATGATTTTTGGCTCGAGTGCACCGACAACTGATCTGTGGAGTCGAGTGATTACACGATCGTGAAAACATTGTTAAAAGATAAAACTTACTTTTTTGTTCTAGCAGATCTAGGAGCCGGTTCAGCAGGACTGGGGGAGGGAGTAGGGGTAGTGTAACTGCTGTTGGCTGTTAAATCTTTTGTTAATACAGGGGGTTGATTTCGTGACATCAGATCATAGCTAGCTTTCATACTCGAAGTTCTTCTACCTAACTGCATCTGATAATAAACAAACAAATATACAGATTTACAAACAGAGAGAGAGAGAGAGAGAGAGAGAGAGAGGTAACGTCCACTCGGCAGAAACTAGGTTATTTTGGGACTAACATATGGTTAAATTCTATTTCAATAATTCGCTTGGGCATAGGTGTCTTTAGCAGTGAGAGGAAACCAGTGGACACAGAGAAAACCCACGAGTTTGGACAGTCGACCCTACTACTTGTCACGTACAAGCTGTGGCAAAAGTTTAATTATTTATCTAGTAATAAATGAAGCACCTCATCAAAATTGCCGTAAACAAAATATATTAAAAACTGACTGAATGAAAAAGTTTTAAAGTGAAAACCGTGGAGTGTAATAAGTACGTACCTGTTGTGTAGCAGCTATAGCTTGAGATGCTGCAGCAGCAATAGCAGCGTTACTTCCTGCACCTATATGACCTGTAGACATTAATAAAATACATGATCTGTCCACTCGGCAGTAACATGCTTCAATTTTATTTTAATATAGGGGTCTTTAGCAGTGGGAGGAATGACAGGCGACCCTACACCTCGCCACATACAAGCATGGAATTGAAACCACACCTACAATGCATGCACAATTCCTTTCACGATGTAATTCTGTTTTAGTCATGATTGTCAAGACTTCTTTCACCTCTCAATTAATCCAATATTTACGGATAACATTTACTAGTTCATTACATCACAAACTTTTAAACAAGATTTCACAAACTCTTATCAAGCATATAAAACACAAATAAATACAAAATATTATTTGTCGAGGGTAGGAAAACAAGTGGAAACCGAGAGGGAATTTGATTAATGTATATTAGTCGTGGGTAGGAAAACCTCTAGAAGTGGGAATCAAGTTGGAATTTTATACATTTGTCGAGGGTAAGAAAATCTCTAGAATAGTAAAAGATAGGTTGCCAGGCAACAAAACATACGCCCACAGCAGCTAAATCGTCCGAGCGGTCGACAAGGGTTGTCGAATATTTATTCCTTTGTAGGTAATTGGGGGTCTTTACAAGACAATTCCATACAAATCAGATTATAAATTTTGTCGTTTTGAGGGTTTACAAGGTTCTACAAACTGAAACAAGGGTCTCAACTCTGGAAGTAATCTACAGAAATTGTTGAAATTTGACAGGATTTTTCGTTTTACTAATTTAAATAATGCATATAAATTTCATACATATCGGATGATAACTTTCATCAATCGAGCATTAACAAGGTTTAACAAAATGAAACAAGGGCAATAACTCTAGAAGTAATTATTGTAAATTGCTGAAATTCAATAGGCTTTTTCGTTTCACTAATTTAAATCATGCATATAAATTTCACAAAGATTGGGTGATAACTTTTGGCGTTAGAGCGTTCACAAGGATCAATAAAGTGAAACAAGGGCCATAACTCTAGACGTAATAAACGGAAATTGCATATACATTTCACAAAGATTCAGTGATAACTTTTGGTGATGGAGCGTTCACAAGGATCAATAAAGTGAAACAAGAGCCATAACTCTAGACGTAATAAACGGAAATTGCTGACATTCAATAGGCTTCTTCGTTTCAGTAATCTAAATAATGCATATAAATTTCAGAAAGATCGGAAGATAACTTTTGGCGTTAGAGCGTTCACAAGGTTCAATAAAGTGAAACAAGGGCCATAACTCTAGACATAATAAACAGAAATTATTGAAATTAAATAGGCTTCTTCATCTCACTAATGTAAACAACATATATCAATTTTAAAACAATTGGATGATAACTTTTGGCGTTAGAGCGTTCACAAGAAATTGTGGACGACGGACGGACGGGGGCGACGGCAATATACGTCCACATTTCAATGTGGGCGTATAAAAATGATTAAAGGGTAAAATATTTACCTAAGTTATATGAAATTGAAGATGAACTTTGATTAGAGTTGAACATAGAAACAGACGGTGAATTAGAAGCAGAGGTTTGACGAATTGTCTCCCTTGCAGCATCTTGTGCTAAGTTTGATAAAACTTCTGTTGTTGAACGTTTATCTAGATGGTTATTGACCACGGAGTTGGGTTGCGCTAATCTCTTTCCTGAAATAAAACAAACAAACAAATTAAAGAATATCTGAAACCAGAACTTATATAACAAACAGAGATTGTATAACAAACCAGAGCTTATATAACAAACAGAGATTGTATAACAAACCAGAGCTTATATAACAAACCAGAGCTTATATAACAAACCAGTGCTTATTAGTAGAGCGATTAATGAGTGATTTCCACAAGACTCTTTCAATTCTTGAGTAAAGCATGAAACTTTGAACAGGGGTACTATGGTACCAAATGATCATAAAACAAATTAGACCATATAAAATGATATGTAAATTGACTGATAAGTAACTTCTTCAGCCGGTCGATTTCGCTGCCAGTAAGTCAAACTGGTAAATATGACTAAAACACGATAATTCCTGCTACAGACATTACACCAAAATATACAACCACAGATCTGTGACTACAACACAAACAATCTTGTATTCTGTATACAATAGTTTCATATTTACATGAATACAAACTTACTTTCTGATTTAGTTGAGTTGTTTATTTGTTGAGGTTTATCTAAATCTAACGAACCTAAAATAAAACACAAGAACAATATATACAGGATTATTAGGAAAAAAACCCCAAGATTATTCAAATACACAATCAGTAGATAAAATAAAGGACACAATTATAACAACAATATACAGGATTATTAAGAAAAAAAAACCCCAGGATTAATAAAACACAATCAGTAGAAGAAATCAACGACAAAATTAGTTGGAATGATGGCAGAACAAAGTGTCTAGTCTTAAAGATACACGCTGGGCTGGATGGCCGAGTGGTTAGCGCGTGCACGCTGCATCATAATGTCTGTCATTGAGTCAACTGGTGTGGTTTCGATTCCCAGGTTGTACGTGACAAGGAGTAGGGTTGCTTGCCAACTTTGTGAGTTTCTCTGGGTCCTCCGGTTTCCTCCCACTGCTAAAGACCATATGTTGGTCCCAAAATAACATAGTTTGTGTCAATTTGACTTTAAACCCTCTCTCTCTCTCTCTCTCTCTCTCTCCCTCTCTCACTCACTCATTCACTCAAAGATGCATTATTTAAGATCTAGAGCTGGTTGTTCTTGTATAATATTTTAAAAATAGATAATGAAAAATGAATATATTGAAAATTTCAGTCAAATTACTTTATTCTGGGTGAAGTTCTGACAAGAGACAAGATAATTGGGTCAATAGTCTCAATTGTCAAGTACCATTTCCAAGATAATAAACAAAGTCCTGATTATCCATTTTAACAATCAGTTATTTGTATATGGTGCGTAGTTTCCAGTCCATTTAATATCTCAGTCACCCAGTGGTCCTGAGAGTGCCTAAATAATAATTCATATAACATTTGAAGACAGAAAAATGAACTGTGATAGGCAAACAACTTATCTCTTATATATAAATGAGTTTTATGGTGTTTTTTTTTACACTAGATAATTTGTAATGTTCAGATCTGTACGTCTTGCACGGAGGACAGGAGTTTTAATTTGCCAAAAAGATTTCCCCAGTCAGGATTCAATCCTGTTCTCTGAAATACTTTAATTAGTTGCCTTAATTCTTTTCTATCAACAATTAGATTTTACATTTATTTCTCTCGTAATTAAATAACGGTGTTCCTGGAACATGGTGAAACAATAATGTCTCAAAAGACATCTAATTCAGCTTATTAAACTTTTTTTTCTACCAAACAAACAGAGAGCGAGAGAAATGGGGTTTAACTCCCAGGGGTCTTACTCCCAGGGGTCTTACTCCCAGGGGTCTTTAGCAGTGAGAGGAAACTGGAGAATCTGTATAAAACCCTTGTCACATCGAACCAGGGACCTGTATAAAACCCTACTCCTTGTCACATCGAACCAGGGACCTGTATAAAACCCTACTCCTTGTCACATCGAACCAGGGAATATAAACCATGCCAGTTGACTCAATCACAGACCTTATGATACAACCCACACACGCTAACCAATTCCCCCTTTTTTGGGCCAAACATTATTTGAAATGAAATGTCCTACTCTTCAGCATCAACTGGGCTAATAAAGATGGAATTATCGCTGCAGTGTGCTATTACAAGAATTTTGCCTGGACAGCAGCATTTTGCCAAATGTCAATGTTTTTTAACACTGAGCCTAAGGTTTTTTCTTTGCGTCGTTCCTTATCGAGATCCTCCATCCTGCACCAGGATGAAAAATCCCAAGAAACATGATCGAATCGAGGACCTCGAAGTTAGTGAGCCACTGTGGCTTTACCTCTTTTGCAAGAATTACTTACGTTTTTCTAATATTTCTGTGATACCAGCATTATCAGCCTCTAATTCCATCTTAAATTTGGCTAATTCCTGATCTAATTTACGTAGATGGCGATCAACCTGTTGTGAGAAATAACGTTTTAAATAATTAACAATTTCATCAGATTATCTTAAAGGAGGTAAAATTCTTTGAGGTCAAAATGAAATGAAATAGGGTTCAACGTTGTACTTTTCTGCATCAAAAGGCCTAATGTAGATAGGCAAACGGCATAGTGTTCTATGAGGGAAATTTTGCCCGGACAGCAGCGCTACAGCCTACTCGTATTTTGAATTCTGTCAAGAGTTCTTTCACGTGCATGCCCATGTGTACACATGGACTTGTTTTTTTTTTTGTACCATCTGAACGACTATACGTTTCCCTTGCCACGACCTCCACCCTGCTCCACTGACAAGGGGGGAATCACACCAGAAAATCATGATGAACGCTCTCGTCCAACACAGGGATTAACAAAGGACCTCCAGGTTAGCGAGTCAATGTCTTACTCACTGACCCACCGTGGCTCCCTCAAACACTATATATGGTCAGTGTTTTGAGTTTCTAGTTTTACCGTTAAATAAAATTTTACCAGATCATGTATATGGTTTGCTAGTTGAACTTTTTCATCAGCATCTTCTAACGTTTTATAATATGCCTGCAACAATCATAAAAAAAAAAAGTATTCTAAGCCAAAAATTATCTTATTAATTTCATCTACAGGTTAAAAATTAACACGCAGTAAACTTAAATTATTCTCAATTAACCAACTCCCGAGTTCACAAAACATTCTCAGGCTTAAGTTAAAAATTTACTAAAATATAGCCATTTATAAAACTTTTGTTATTTTAATGTATCAAATATATCAATAAAAACATATGTAAAGTTTTGTGTTTCTGGATCAAAGATATTTCTCATAAACAGTGATTGAAAGTTGAGTAAATTCTTAACTAAGTTTGAGAATGCTTTGTTAACTCGGGGCCAGATAGGCACTGAAGCAATATCAAGTAATCTAAACAGTCACCATCAGCCAAACAAATATTCTTATGGTACCCTACCATCTACCATTTATTTTTAATATTTTAACAGAAATTATCTTTTGAGCTTCTCAGAGATGGGATTTAACGTCCACTCGTCACAAACTAGATCATTTCGGGAGTAACATATGGTTCAATTTTATTTCAATAATTCGCTTGCACGTAGGGGTCTTTAGAAGTGGGAGGAAACTGGAGAACCCGGAGAAAACCCACGAGGTTGGACAGAAAACCCTACTCCTTGTCACATAAAAGTGGGGAATCGAAACCATGTTAGTTAACTCAATGACAGACCTTATGATACAGTGCGCACGCGCTAACCATTCGGACACCACCCCCACCTACGCTTCTCAGAGTATCGTGGTGATAATGCTTACCTCTTTTATTTCCTGAAATTGGTCGTCTTTATTTTCGTGTTTCTGGTTTGACTGAAGACATTTCTTGAAGAAAGCTTTCACACGTTCATCAAGGCTGTCTAACGAATCTTTTGGGAGGGAAAAAAAAAGAAAATATAAATACAGAAGTTTCAAAAAGACTGAAATATATTTCAATTTTATTTGAATAATTTGCTTGCATGCAGTGGGAGGAATCCTAAAGGAACCAGTGAAAACCCATGGTGTTGAACAAACAATCCTACTCCTTGTCCTGTACAAACTGGGAATCAGAACCACTTGACTCGAAGCCCACCCAACCCCTCTTCGATTTAGATAAACGAGGTGGTAAGCTTACAAAGATCAAATTGTTTGTATCTGTCCATGATAAAATGGAACGGGACTAGCTACATGTATCATCTCATTATATAACTAGCTTATAAAAATACAGGAATTTCTGCTTTATATCTCAAATTAAACAGATTATTAAATTTCACCAAATCCTTTCATTATATAAAATAGCCTCATCATCTGCTATAGTCAGAAGTTTCTGACTATTCCATTGGCTCTTCAGATGGCTGAAAGCCAGCAGAGATTAAGAAAAATTAAGCTCAGTTTTTTTTTTAAATTTTTTACAGACATTCCAAAACAGAACTGCCTTATATTACAGCCTTTTCAAAATCTAATTCATTCACCATTCGAATGATACATCTCCAACCTTTCTAGTTTATCCAAACGTGTGCACAAAATAAAATGGATATACCATTTGTCAAAATTTCAACATTTTTCACGTAGGCCTACATGAGATATGCTACAGATGCTATTGTTTTTGACACAAATTCAACATACAAATGGTAGAAAGATCTATTGGTGAGATTAGTATAGAATGTACTTCATCAAGTGGATGAGAGTGAAAGTTCTCACGATCTCTAATCTTTCAAAATTGAGGAATCCTGAGTCCTTAAATTTGAAAAATATATAAAGGGGGCAAGGAAGAGATTCAACCATTTCGGACTATGTCTGACAGATCATTAATTCAGTGCACACTACTTTACTAGTAATTCAAGGTGTCTGATTTTAATAAATTTACGACCATTACAGATTTTGACTCTATGACTATGTAACTAATAAAAAGAGACAGAGCAATGGGTTTAACATTCCATCAACACAAACTAGGTCATTTCGGGACTAACATATGGTTCAATTTTAGCAGTGGGGGGGATACTTCTTGTTAAGCCACTTGGCTCAATGACAGACCTTGTAATGCAATGTGCACACGTTAACCATTCGGCCACCCAACCCCTGTGTGACTGATAAAGTTGCATTTCTAAAAATATCAAATTTCCCATTTAATTTACGCTATATGTACTCATTAATTATTCAACATCACTGAGAGAGAGAAATGGGGTTTGATGTCCCCCTTGACACAAACTAGGTCAATTCGGGACTAACATATATAGTTCAATTCTTTTTCAATAATTTATATGCGCGTAGGGGTCTTTAGCAGTGGGAGGAAACCAGAGGACCCAGAGAAAACCCACGAGGTTTGACTGGTGACCATACTTCTTGTCACGTACAACCGGGGAATTGAAACCCCGCCAGTTGAATTAATGACAGATCTTATGATACAGCAATAACCATTCGGCCATCCAACCCCAGCATATCTTTTAAAATTTTGAATGGAATTGAACCATTTCTGGATTGATATGCCTATGACAGATTAAGCTTTCATAATATTGTCGTTTGCAAGGGAGATTCAAATCCCTTAAATAAAAATTAGAGTATTGAGTCATTAATGATTAAGGGCTTCGACTAGGCCATCACTGGAAACATGATGCATAGGGTGGAAATGATATTGGCAAAAATTTGCAGCCTTGCTAAGATTTTGAAAAATGGCAATCTTAATTCGCAACAACATTTATTCAACAGTAATAGTGTTTACTTAATCATAAATGTAATTCTTTTTTTTTATCACAGAAAAAAAACCTGTTCATGGGAGATAACTCTGTTTTTCAACACAACAATGAAAACAGGAAATGGGCTAATATTTCTCAAATTACATTAAATATGACTAAAATATTGATGTTATTATTTATACTTTGAACTTGTAGGTCGATTTCTCGCATTTCTGTCAATCGTTCTCGCATTTCCATCGGCAGGTTCTCTATCACTGAAAAATATAGAAAATAAAAATGAAAAATTATCACTGAAAATCACCATTATTTTTAATAATTTTTGGCTGAGTTGAAGGAAGGGTTATTTAAAAGATATTTAACGCTTAATGCAAATACTTACTCTCCAAATAATCTTCTAAATACAGCATTTTTAGAGTAGAATGCACACTCAATTTGTAATAAAAATGGCGGTATTTCAGCAAGCCGAACACGGAAGCTAAACTCGACTTGGTTGGTCGATTGGGATTAATTACTCGGGGGTATTTCCCAAAGAAAAGACAAAAGATAGGGAATGACACACTAAGCGATTTGATCCATGGCAACAAACATAAAATGTCATGATTAAATTTTCCAACATAAATGGGCGACAGTGGATAAATCAATGAATATATACAATAAATAGATAATAAGCTTGATATCATCAACCAATGAAATCGTTTGGTTCTTCGGCCTCCTGTTTTTCCGAACACGTGCTTTTAAATTGAAAGTAGAATCGGTAAGAGTATTTGCAGGTTATTTTCTCTCGATGTCAAATTTTTTATAATGAATAAGTTTAATATTCGTCCATTTCTTGTTGGAAATTGAATAACCCTTTATTTGGTCAAAACTTTACGATGATTGAGTGTAAACAAATTAAGGTGAAGGTCATGAAATTAAAAGGTGAAGGACTTTGACCTAATTTCATTCGTAGACTCGATCTTCAAGCTGTTTGCATATTATCGTATTGGTGAAATACGTCTGGCATTCAAGACTAAGTCTGCGAGAAAAGTTTATTTTGCAGCAAAGATGCCTGTGTTAAAGAGTTGCGCTAATTTCATCAGAAGATCGTCAAGTCATGCCAAATATTTTTCTCGACGTTATTCTGATCAGGTATTGTTTCTTTTTTCCAACAATTAATAATTTTGCAGAATATTAGCTATCCAACCTGTCACACCAATCCAGAATTTCTTGTTTGGTAATGATTGCTTTATGGATAGAAAACAATGCCAAATATGTATATTTAAAGATATCTTGTAATCTGCGTTTTTAGTCCAACGAAAAAGTACATTGGCATTGAATTTTGTGGTAAGTGATATTTCTTGTCTGGATGTCTTAATTGCTACGCTGTGATAGGTGTCATGCATGAGGCAGGTTATGATTACCATTCCTGGAACGAATACCTGACAACTCATCCCAATATATGACAACTCATCCAAAATAAAAGACAACTCATCCCCAGATAAAAGAACTCATCCCAACACCCAAGATAAAAGACAACTCATCCCAAGATAAAAGACAACTCATCCCAATATAAAAGACAACTCATCCCCATTTACGTTTACTCAGTGAAACTTGGCATATTGACACAATCAATCCAATCACAATTTATGTGTAGAAGCAAACTGTAAGAATGAATGAATGGAATGTTGTTTTATGGCACGTCAGCTCCAATCAGATCCAACCAGGCTATATGGCGCTAAACATAGACAGGAAACTGTAAGAGGATGTTCACCGAACTGGATGAAACTAGCAGAAATTAATTGTTGAGCAGATGGGTATTACCTATATAATGTGGAAGATTTTTGATGAATATTACAGTGTTATTGCCCTTGCTTGAAAATTTCGGGTTATTTTCTTAGTCAATTGGATGACACTCCCAAAGTTTTAATAATATGATTAGCTTATTGATATTAATGAATTTTGATAACCCCCTACAGATTTATTGCCCTTGCTTCAAACGTTCTGTTGACATTACAGCTGGAGTTGGGTTGTGCAATGTGAGTGCTTTAGACCACAAAGTCTGTCATTGGCTAGGTTTCAAAGTTGATATTAGGCTTTTATGTGCCAAGGAGTAGGTTACCTCCCTAACCGTGTGTGTTCTTCAATTCCTCCCACTGTAGGCCCCCTCCTCCCCAATGCCTGTCCAATCCAACAGGTTTGCGTCGATTGGAAGTTAAACTTTCTCTTTATCTTTGCCGATTCTGTTGTCGGTTTTGGTAAAATCTAATTTGCCCTATTTAACTGTATGGAAAATGATTTTGTTAACACTTGAGCACTAAGATTTCTTCTTATCTTAGGTTTCTTAGGTTTTATTTTTGACAGAAATAGTTTTCCATACATATAAAAATGAATTGTCTTATCTATTGAAGCACCAGTTTGGGTTAAAGTTTTCTAGGACAACATGTGTTCATCTTCCTACAACATGACATACTTGTTTTAAGTGTTGAGTGAATATTAATATATATATACTCTAATACAAGAATGATATTATACTGAAATACAAGAATGATATTATTTGATTATGTTCCATGAATTAATATTCCCCAACCATATCAAATAAATTACTTGAGAGAGAGATGGGCTTTAACACTTGACATAAATAAGGTCATTTCAGGACTAACACATGGTTCAATTTTATTTCAATAATTCGCTTGCGCGTAGGGGTCTTTAGCAGTGGGAGGAAACCGGAGGACCCAGAGAAAACACATGATCTTGAGGTTGGACAGGCGACGCTACTCCTTGTCACGAACAACCGGGGAATCGAAACCATGGCAGTTGACTCAATGACAGACCTTATGATACAGCGCGCACATGCTAAGCATTCGGCCATCCCCCTCCCCCATCCACCTAGAATGAAGTGAAATGGAGTTTAACGTCCTAATTTTCTGCACCAACCTGGAATACGCCATGTGGTGTTTGGTGGCCCAATAGTTTAACACATGCACTTTAGATCATAAGATCTGTCATTGAGTCAACTGACGTGGTTTAGATTCCATGCTTGTATGTGACAAGGAGTAGGGTCTCCTGTTCAACATTGTGGGTTTTCTCAGGGTCTTCCAGTTTCCTCCCACTGCTAAAGACTCCAAAACACTGGCGAATTAATGAAATAAAATGAACCAGATGTTAGTCCCAAAATGAACTAGTTTGTGTCGAGTGGACGTTAAACTTACATGCAAACAACGTTTCAACCCACTCTTTGTCGATTTCCAACTGTCAAGAGTTGGAATTCAATCGCTAAAATCTCGGTTCAGAGTGGATCAATTTGACTGAAATTTTCAGCAAATTTCGCTTTACATTAGTTAGTTTATAGTAAGACCTGCCAGGTCTTTATCTAATCTCCCATAATGTATCTTTAATAATTTTAAATTAATCTTGTTGTATGGCACTTGTTATTGGTTACTGCAGTTGTATTATCAGACTCGATCACCATTCACATGACAGCTTCTTTCCTTTTTAGGTTGCGGGTTTGAGACGAACTTGTCTCTATGACTTCCATGTTGCTCAGGGTGGTAAAATGGTGCCGTTTGCCGGTTGGGAGATGCCTGTGCAGTATAAAGACAGTATTTCTGCATCACATCACCATGTTCGCAATTCTGTAGGAATATTTGACGTATCACACATGTTACAGACGCGAGTCGATGGTCAAGATGGCGTTAAATTTATAGAATCTATGATCGTGGGTGATATCGAGGGGTTAAAGAGTAATCAAGGAACATTAACGTTGTTTACGAACGATAATGGTGGTATAAACGATGATTTAATCGTTAATAAAACAGACGAAGGTTATTTGTATATAGTATCTAACGCTGGATGTATGGAGAATGATTATAACAATATGAAGGTAAGATCATCACCATTTAGTATGGATTTGAAGTCACAGTGACTAAGTGGGTAAGACGCTGGCTCGCTAGCCCGGAGGTCGCGTTTTCGATCCCTGCATTGGTCAAGAAAGTTAATTGGATTTTCCAGCGTCGTTTTCCCTTGTCAGTGGTGCAGGACGAAGGGCCTGACAAAGACAGCTGTCTAGTCGTTTTGATGAGACGAAAAACCGAGGCCCCTGTGGCATGAACATAAAAGATCCCTTGGCAGTTGTAATTTGATATAAGTGTAGGCGATAGTGCCGGTGCCCGGGAAAAATTTCCCGCATAGCACACTGTATGGCGTATGCCTGACTTTATTAGCCCAGTATAGGACTAGGAGCAGAACAGTAGGACGTTAAACCCCATTTCATTTCATTTCATTTGTCAGTAACCATTAAAGTTGTACCTGACATTTCTTTTATTGACCAGACAAGTATTAGAAATATAAAAAAAACAATACACAAATCTGTGACTGACAAAATAACAGGTGCCAAAAGAAATTTTAACTCAGCATAGTCCGCGATAAAGTTTAAGTATGTGCCTGACCTTGTCTGTAAGAGATCTCTCTGACAGATAAAACACAATTTTGTATAAAGAGATTCCTCATATTCCTCCAATGCTAAGGACCCATGCATACATGTACAAGCAAATTATTGATGTTAATATATACCTTATATTAATCCTGAAATGGCCAAGTAAAAATTTCAGTTTGGCAAGTTTTTGAAGTGTAAACCTAATTGTATTTTGTATTTTATATTTTAGAATCGTGTAGAAGAATGTAGATCACAAGGAATGAATGTCCAGCTAGAGATTATAAATAAAGCTTTAATAGCTGTTCAAGGTCATTTTTATATTTTATTATTCTCTTCATCCTCCCCTAACTAACTCTGTTCATTCTACTTCTGGCTCGTTAACTAGGGGGGTCGCAGTGCTGCTTCTGTAAGTTTCTCAGGCTTTTCTGGCATGGTTTCCCCTGATCAGTGGTGTACAGACGGCCTGTAAACATATGGGCCTTAAAGGACTAGGTCAACTTTCCATGTTAGCTCCGGAGACACACTCCTTACAATTGATCCCAGGACATTATGAGAGTCCACTGTCACGGCCCCTTCTGACCAATCAAACAACCATGAAAAAATCTTGGTCTTCGTAGAACCATATGAAGAACCCAGGGGAAGAACGATCTAAGTCACTTTTTCAACGAACCCCAGTTAATAGCACCATCTGGTATCAAATTGTTTAAGCTTTCTGTGGAACAATCAATTTCAGGTAAAAATGACCGCCCGGACAAATATGTTCATCGTACCCTTTATTTGACTTTAATTTAGCTGGGGGGGTTGGATGGCTGAATGGTTAGCGTGCGCGCGCTGTATCATAAAGTCTGTCATTGAGTCGACTGGCGTGGTTTCCAATCCCCGGTTGTACGTGGCAAGGAGTAGGGTCGCCTGTCCAACCTCGTGGGTTTTCTCCGGGTCCTCCGGTTTCCTCCCACTGCTAAAGACCCCTACGCGCAAGCGAATTATGTAAATAAAATTAAACCATATGTTAGTCCCGAAATGACTTAGTTTGTGTCGAGTGGACGTTAAACCCCTTTTCTCTCTCTCTCTTTAATTTAGCTGAAAAGTGGAAGTTAGTTGTTGTACTGGTAATTATGATTTGTATTAAACATATTTTGAAGTTGTAATTAAACCCACTCGTTGTTTATGTGAAAAGACAAAAATGTGACTTAGATCGTTCTTCCCCTGATCATTTTCTATTGTAAATATTCTGTTAATCCTAATCCTTTAACATTTTATTCAGGTCCATTGATGACATCTGTACTTCAACCAGGTTTAGATTTTGATCTGAAAACTCTACCATTTATGACAAATCGTGAAGCAAAGATCTTTGGTATCCCAGATTGCCGAGTTACAAGATGTGGTTACACGGGAGAAGATGGAGTAGAGGTATAGGATTTAAAAAATCTAATTTTCATCTGAAAAGGAGTAGTAAACGGTTGTAGGCCTTAGTAGTCAAACCATTTGGTTACTCAATTCTCTTCATGTAAATTTCCTTAGTTGCAAACAGAGTGTGGATTGCCAACTGCAGGGATGATAAGGAAAATTTGTCTTGTTATTGGGATGGGATGATAAAGTTTCATCCGTGTACCACAAGTATGTCTAGTTATTCGGATGGAATAATAAAGTTCATCCATGTACTACAAGTTAGTCTAGTTATTCGGATGGAATGATAAGGTCCATCCATGTACCACAAGTATGTCTAGTTATTGGGATGGGGTCATAAGGTCCATTTGTGTATCCACTATCTAATCCAAGTCATTTTTTCAACCATTCATTGCACACTCAGCCACAATAAAAATAAAATGAGAAGATTTCTGGAATCATCTCAAGCACTCATCATTACTCCATGTTTTAACAGATATCCGTACCGACCAATCAGATTGAAGATCTGTTAAATACCCTGTTATCCTCGTCTAAAGCAGAAGTTAAAATGATTGGTCTAGGAGCACGAGATAGTTTACGATTGGAGGCTGGATTATGTTTATACGGATCTGATATAGATGAGAAGACAACTCCTGTAGAAGCTACACTAGCGTGGACTATAGGTACAGATTCTGATTAACTTCTTATCCATGAAGAATAGTGTTGCAGAGGTCCCATCTACTATCATGTCTGTTAAGTTACTGCATGTTTATTCCAACTTTACCTGGTACAGCCACCCGACTATCACTGGTTAAAACAAACCCCTCTCCCCCGAACACCTCCTTCCCACTTTCCCACTTAAACCACCCCTCTCCCTCGAACACCTCCTTCCCACTTTCCCTGGTAAAACCACCCCTTTTCCCTGATCACCGCCTGGTAAAACCAACCCTTTTCCCTGAACAACTCCTCCCCACATTCACCTGTAAAACCCACCCATTCCTCCCATGAACAGAATGATTTTGCTAGAATTGAGTTCCATTTGATGTTTTTTTTGCTCTAACTTCAAGATGTTTGAGGGGGATGAATAGCCAAATGGTCTAACACATGCGCTTTAGAGTCAAGTGGCGTAGTTTCGATTCTTGCAAGTTGAGTTCTGACATCCAATCAAAAATTTGTACAAACCAAAATCATCAAAAAATGTGATTTTGTAAACAGAAAATTGTTAATGAAATAAAATGGAGTTTAATGTCCTACTGTTCTACATCATCCAGGGCTAATTAAGACTGGCATACATGTTTATTGTAAACATATGTTTTATATTTACAGCTAAAAGAAGGCGTGCTGAAAGGAATTTTCCTGGAGCCGAAAAAATCTTAGATCAGTTGAAAAATAAACCTTCAATAAAGCGTGTTGGTTTTATATCATCGGGACCACCAGCTAGGGGTAGGTAACTCTATATCATCAGGGCCACCTGCTAGGGGTAGGTAACTCTATATCATCCGGACCACCAGCTAGGGGTAGGTTACTCTATATCATCAGGACCACCTGCTAGGGGTAGGTAACTCTATATCATCATGACCACCGCGTAGGTACAGCCTCTGTACAGGTTTAATCTCTTAGCCAATGAAAACACAGCGTTTTAAGAATATTTTAGGTGTTCGTAAACACCCTCTACTGCTCCATCTAAGATAATATTGTAAAAGTTGAATTTATAAAAGGAGTATCAATCCAAAAATGGTTCAATTCTGGTTTAGTGTAGCACTCTTAACCATTAATTAGTCTTTTAAGGTCGGACCTGAAGTGTGAATAAAACAGCAAAAGTTAACAGGACATTTTTCTTCTAAAGAGTATGGCGAAACTTGTGTTTCCTTCTGCATAACATTAGCCAATCAAATTACTGGATTTTCTAATCGTTACACTAACGTTTGTATACCAGAACATCCAGACTCTCATTATATGCAGCAAAGAACATGACTATGACAAATAAATCATAACCATGGAGATTCTAACCTACTTCACCTTAGTCACATAATATAATGTATAATGGATGGACAAATTTATGCACTGTTTGAATATACTCAAGAATCAATCAACACAATTACCTCTACATCAGTATTTACAAAGATATGTGGAATTGAAAATTTGTCGATCTACCTACATGTATGTTGCTCCCTATGTAACAAGATGGCCACCATCTTTGTTTGTTGTCAACCAAATTGATGGGCCTGTTTTAAATCTGATTGAATCCCAGCCAAAAGATTATCTAGTGTTGATATTTTGATTTTGTATCCTTAATTTAATGATAAATTATGCAAGAACTAAATATGCCTATTGCAGGTCTTTCTGTAGGCCTGAGATGTTATCTATATTATTAATTAAACATTTATTAACATTAGAAGACCTTAATCAACTCTCGATGCCATCTTATGTGTCGAATTTTCCCTGGATTTAAATCCGATTTGCTGCTCAACGCTCATTGATGATTTAATCCAAACATGGATAATCGAGACTAAGTTTTTTTTTTATCGTACCGACTTTAGTAATAATGATCGAGGATAGGCCGAAAATTCAATCGCTAAAATCTCAGTTCAGAGTGGATCAATTTGACTGCAATTTTCATCAAATTCCCATTAAATTATCTAGTTTTGAAATATAATAGTGAGCACTGCCAGCTCTTTATCTAATCTCCCATAATGTATCTATAATGTTAAATAATCAATATAGTGAGTTCATATTATGGCAAAAATTCAAATCCTGTGTCGTTACTTTAAATAATTTTATGTATTTTCAGGTGGTACGGCTATATATGACGAAAGTGGAGAAAAGAAAATAGGTCATGTCACAAGCGGTATTCCTTCTCCAACATTAAAGACCAATGTTGCCATGGGTTACGTAGATCTGCCATTTTCTAAGAACGGAACACCAGTTAAATTTGGAATTCGTAAAAATAAAATTGATGCAGTTGTATCGAAGATGCCTTTTGTTCCAGCTAAGTATTATATACCAAAATAAAAAATGGCCTATTCAGAAAAATCAACTTTGCTACGATTATTTTAATAATTTTATCTAAAAGTGTAATCTCGAATATATTTTTTTTATTTACTTACACAGAGATCTGGGCCAGTTTTATACATGTATTTCCCCAGTAAGTTGGGCCTATCAATCTGATCAAAATACACATCTATATTCCGTTTCATTATTTATACTTTCGATGGCCTACGTACACTACATGAAGATCTGATCGGTTGTAGTGGAAGGTCGCGTCAGGGGTCATACAAATGGCTTTTGACCCTATGACGTCGGACATTGATTAATCAATCAGCGTTGACGTTTCTAGTGGTTTACCCACAGTTCCATGTGCGTCACGCCAAAAACTTGCTGTAACAGAACGTTACATTGGCTAATCCCTCATATCAACCAGAACGCTGGTTATATAACAACTCTTCCAGATCCTAGTGTAGTAAAGACAAGTAAAACAGAATTTTAAACTATAAAAAAACGAAACGAAATATGATCTGCGTTTTAATCCGATTGTTGGGCCTATTAAACATGTTCGAGGAGAGACAGTATATAAAGATATAGTATATCATAAAGATAATTATTTATAAAAATATTGATATGTTTAATTATTTATACCAGTGAAGTATTTGCTCAGCTTTAAGATTGAATCTCTCACTGGTAATGGTGCCAGAATGAGAAAATTGTTTAATAGCTGTTGACTGCCATGTGTAATCTCTATATTATATCAACAGTCAACAGCTGTGCGTTATCTCTATATTATATCAACAGTCAACAGCTGTGCGTTAGCTCTATATTATATCAACAGTCAACAGCTGTGCGTAATCTCTATATTATATTGTTACTGATTGTTATTGCATGATTTATATTAATTTATATATAATGAATAAAATTACATTTTTACACAAGTGATTTTGATAATGCTGTAAGATTGAGAATTGTTACTGCCAGGGATTATTTTACCCATTTGTTTACAGTAGAATCTATACGAGCAGCCACAACTTCTCAGTTCTCACTATAAATTTCATCTGCTTCTAACTCCTCTGACATGACAAGGAGTTGGGTCGCCTGTCCATCATCGTGGGTTTTCTCCGGGTTCTCCCACTACTAAAGATCCCTACATGCAAGCGAATTATTGAAATAAAATTGAACCATATTTTAGTCCTGAAATGACCTAGTTTGTGTCGAGTGGACGTTAAACCCCATTTCTCTCTCTCTCTAACGAGGCCATACATGTTTTAAACCCAGGTGATTTTGATAATGCTATAAAATAATTCTTCCTGCAAGTTATTTTTTTGACCCATTTGTATATATGATTTTGCTCCCCTCTTTGGGATCGGGGTTGGGCAGCAATTTAAGAGTCATGATATCAATCCAATTCTGTCAGAGTTGGTCTGTCCTGCCTCATCTTATGGGTATATGCCAAGTTCTTTCGTTTTCGTGCAAGCAAATAATTCTGACACGGTGAGAAACCCGCTTCATTAGAAACCTTGGTATCTCAACGGAAGATGGTTACATCAAAGACCACTGGTATCTCCTGGGAGAAGCTCAGCCATCAAAGCCACTGGTACCTCCTGGGAGAAGCTCAGCCATCAAAGTGTACTGAATCTCAAGAGGTGAAGCTTGACCATCAAACATCGTTGGTATCTCAAGGGAAGAAGCTCAGCCATCAAAGACCACTGTTATTGCAACGAGGGAAGTTCTCCAATCAATGACTACTGGTATTTCAGCGAGAGAAACGTGACCACCAAAGACTACTGGTATTTCATCGAGAAAAATGCAGCCATCAAAGACTACTGGAATCTCAAGAAGAGAAGCTCGACCATCAAGCACTATTGATATCTCAGGGAGATAAGCTCAGAAAGAATCGTTGAGAAGTAATCGTTAGAACAGATAGAAGATCTTTATTAAAAAAGTTTTATATTTTATTTATTTTATTTCATGGAACGACCAGATAATAAACACCAATAGATGATATTTTATATATCATATTCATATTGAGGACACACACAAATATTTCACATCTTAAATTGAAACAAATAAGTTAATATCTTAAATTGAAACAAATAAGGTAATATCCTAAATGGGAATTTTACGAGGTATATCAAAAATTGAGATAAAATGACTGATTAATTTGAATGAGGTCATTTATCTAGTAAAACAATTGCAGATGCAGAATATCACACCAGACTTTTATAGAACAAAATTATTGAATTTAATCAAATCAATGTTCTGTGCTTGATAACGAGCAATGTTCTGGGCTTAAGTTTAAATTACAGTGGAACTGATCGTGATGTCCACTATATTTTATCATGATTCTTGTTGAAATCAAACCTGTTCAATTCTCTCTATCGTCAAGGTCTTGCAAAATAACCTATCTGAGAGTTACTCTTAAAAAACAAAACAAAAATATTTAACAATTTGCATATTGAAAGAAACATTAAAAAACTAAGAAACTTGTATAGTAAATAAAATGCACCATATGTTTGCCTATAAATTATAACTTAAATCATGTGAAACTTTACACTACTATAATACAAGTAATTAATGCTATATGAAATTAATCTTGCTTGAAATTACTGTGACTTTATAAATAGCGTCGACATAAATAAGTTAGTACATAATGCAATCTGATCAAAATACAGATCTATATTTCGTTTTGTTTTTTTTAATACTTTCGATGGCCTCTACTACATGAAGACCTGACCAGTTGTAGTGTGAGGTCGCGTCAAAGGTCATACAAGCGACTTTTGACCCTATGATGTTAGACATTTTATTAACCAATCAGCGTTGATGTTTCTAGTAGGATACCCACAGTTCTGTGCATCGCACGGCCAAAACTCGCCGCAACAGACCGTTTGATTGGCTAATCCCTCACATCATCTAGAACGCAGGTTATATAACAACTCTTCCAGATCCTAGAATAGTAAAGACAAGTAAAACAAAATTTTGAACTATAAAAAATGAAATGAAATAGGATCTGTGTTTTAATCAAATTGCTCAATGTTCAGACAATGTTAGCAGTTAGCGATACCCTTACATTTCTTTCCGGTGGGCACCATGTAGGTGATTTTCAGGGAATCCAGATTGACTGTTTCTAATTTCCATATATACCAAATATGCCATAAGTTCACTGGAAATAACTACATGGGAATGAAGCCTTAACCAACTTTGACGAAATTTTTGATATACAGGGTAAATTCTCTGTATTTTAGAAATAACTAAACTATAAATAAATTTGCGGGAATGGATCTTTAACCAGCTTTGACCATACACAATACTTTTGTTTGATCTACAAGGTAATTGTATAATGGTAATATCATGAAATACCAATCATATCTCATTATGTTCTCCATATATTGTGTACTGTTGACACCTGTTATGGAAGAGTTTCCTCCCTTTTAATAGTCACTAGAGTTCTTTGCCCGTATTATGTACTCTTCCCTCAGAGAAGAGATATTCAACAGTTAGATCTATTTTATAAGGCCAACTTCAAGTTTGGTCAAAGATCATGAGACGTAAATGGGGCTAGCCTTAATGCTTAAACTAACCTTAACCCTGGATCTAGCCCCAACACTTGCCCTAACCTACAATCTCACCATCAATCAAGTGCCCTAACCCTATTAACATCTCAGCGACCTTGACGAAATCTTGAGTTGGCCTTAACAAATAGATCAACACACGTTTGCTTTATTTATAACAATAACTTCTTGCTCTACAGTAGCATACATAAAACCATTTAAAAAATAACAAAATAGAATAGCAGACCGAGAAAAGAATAAACAGTAATAATAAGTAATTAAATAATTAAATTAAAAATAGACACTAAATTGCTTCATTGTACAATTTGTGGTTCGTTAATTTATTGCATAAAAACAAGGAAATGAAATGGGGGTTTAACGTCCTACTGTTCTGCACTAAGGTAGCTAATGAAGACAGCCATACGCCATACAGTGTGTTATGAGGGATATTTTGACCGAACAGCGGCACTACAGCCTACTCTTATATCATATTCCAACTGTCAAGAGATCTTTTACGTACATGCCAATGTTTAAGTGGGACTTTGTTTTTTCATCCCATCCAAAAAACTATACACTGTCCCTTGCTGGCCCTCTGCCGTGCACCACTGAAAACGTCATGGACAAATCTCATAACCTAAACCTCACTTGAACACATATCATTAAAGCACCAAGATATCTGTCACGATATCGAAAGAATTTCTATCAATTAGGATGGATATTTCGGCATGATTTCCGTTAATCTCCCTGTTAAACAGAAGGGAACATACATATACATATATCATGTCAGTATCTAGTCAGTTAACGGATATTGACCAGAATAACTCTGGGATACATGTGACCTGTGATATATCAAAGTGAGGTGGAAGTCGCAAGTTTTTTACTGTATGAACAAAAAATTTAAAATATATGTAGGCTAAAAATATCTTTCTAATGATGTACATGTAACATACAGGTCACAATTCCAGTTCAATTACTTATTGCCATTGAAACAATGTAAATATAACACCAAAGGTAAAAGTTTTCATTTGACAAATAAAGCAATTTTTTGTTCATATTTTCAGCCTATATCGACTATTTTGTTCATATATTATCATCGTAAACAACAGCTTGTGACTTCTGACACATTTACCTGTCACAGGTGACATATAAACAAAAGCGTGTGACTTCTGACACATTTACCTGTCACAGGTGACATATAAACAATAGCTTGTGACTTCTGACACATTTACCTGTCACAGGTGACATATAAACAATAATAAATTATTAAAAGATGGCTTCATTTATAGTACAAATATATCACAACATTGTATCAATTAAAAAAGCAAAAATAAAAAAAACTTTTAACAGCACCGGTAAAGTTTTAACTCAATATAGAGAGGGAATAACAAATAGGCATGTGTTAATCACCATGATCAGTTCATATTGTACCACATTCTTCAAATCATACGATGATTTCGTCATATGATTGACTGAACAAATCTTAAAGTAAAAGGCCTATAAAACACATGGAAGTATTTTTGACGAAAAAATAATAATTTATACAAAAACAAATAATAATAATAACAAACTCTGTCTCATCTTATTCCAGATTTATCCAATCACAGACCACTTTTTACGTCCATTAACCAATGACAACAAGCATACCAAATAAGATTCTTGACCTATCACAACCTTAGTTACTGGAAGATCTATTATCATATCTACCTATAACCACACTTTCACGTTTTCATATATTTCCGCGACTATTTTTTATCCAATCATAAACGACTTGATCAGGACGACGTGATTGTACCAATTGTCCGACAGCTGTTTCCATTTTAACCTTATTTTTGCGTAGATACATTTTCGCATCTTGTTTGATAAGATTGAGTTTATCTGGTCTGATTTCATCGAGGAAGAACATCTCCGACATGTAAGGATTAAATCGGAAATATGACGAAGGTGGAAGAAGATCTTGACAGGTAACGTGAACGGCTGAAATTAATAAAATAAATATCACAATCAAATGATATGAATTTAAACGGGGGGGGGTAACGTCCTTTTTTAGTTAAGCATTTGGGCATACCCAATGCAGTGTGCTATGAGGGGAATTTTCCCGGACAGCGACATTTCAACTACTTTTCATTGAATTCCAACTGCTAAGCGTTCCTTGACGTGCACACCAATGTGTCCACAGGACTATAGCCCATCCAAACTTGATGTTGTGACTTGTCAGATCCTTGGTCTTGCATCTCTGACAAGAGGAAAGCACACGGAAACACCTCGAGGAACTTTATAATTCAACACCAGGATAGAATCCAGGCACAATTATATAATTGTCGTTTTTATATACAAATATATATAATATGAACATCAGAAATTGTTGAAAATCAATAAGTTTCTTCATGTCATGACCTTAAATGCTGTGTATAAATATAAAGTTCAATCGGATATTAACTTTAGCCACTAGAGCGTCCACAAGATTTTTCAAAGTGATCAAGGGCCATAACTTTGACAGTAATTATCGGAAATCGGTGAAAATCAACAGGCTTTTTCGTCTTAAATTTTTATGCATTTTGAGTTAGCTCCTGTGAACTTGCTTTGTAATTGGTAACAGGGGCTGTGAATAAATTTAAAGTCAATCAGATGATAACTTTAATTAGAACGTCCATAAAGAATTGTGAACGATGGACTGCGAGGATGACAATATACAATCAAATTTCAATATGGACATATAAAAACTAGAATGGCTTACCTTCAGTATCAGTTGCCGAATCAACTATTTTAGAAAGTTTATCTTTTAACGATAATTTATTGGGTGCGAATTCAAAGTTGGGTTCGTAACGACCAGTACCAAGGGAGATAACACACTGAACCGATTCTTCCGGCCACAGTAATTTACTCTCGTGTAACGCTAAAGCCGTTGGGTTGTTGGTGAGTAAACCACCATCCTGAAAACAAGACAAGAGTAACCATTCATGCCCCATTGATTGGATTCTAGTCTTCCTGTGTATAAATTTAAAGTCAACTGAATGATAATTTTCACCTGTACGTGTTGACAACAATATACAACCATATTGCAATGTGGGCCTATAAAAACATGCACCTCCCTTTGACTTTACACGAGAGAGAGAGAGTGAGAAAGAGAGTGAGAGAGAGAGAGAGAGAATTTAACTCAACTCGACAGAAACTAGGCCATATTGGGATTAAAATATGGTTCAATTTTATTTCAATAATTCTCTTTCACATAGGGGTCTTTAGCAGTGGGAGAACCTAGAGAAAACCCACGAGGTTGGGCAGGCAACCCTACTCCTTGTCAGGCACAACCAGGGAATCGAAACCATGCCAGTTGACTCAATGACAGACACTATGACACAGGGTGCACGTGCTAACTATTTGCCCATCCAATTCCCCAGAATTTATTTTGTTTACCCTATACAATGCATTTGACAAGCTTACCTGATGAACATAATCTCCGTGATTAAACTGTTCAAAATACCCAGGAGCTGCTGACGAGGCTCGGATAACTTCCCAGATCTCGTGATTACAGCTTCCCGGATAGTGAGAATACACACCAGGTGGCAGGTTGTAATTACGAAACATAAAATTCTTCATCATAGGTAAATTCATCACACTTGATACGCCAGAAAACTAAAATAAACAAATTCATTTAGTTACGTTGTCATAACAATCAGGACAATCAATGTCATTATTCTAATGCTATTCGAATATATCTAATTATGTTGCACTGTTACCGGTATTACATGTTTATTTATTTACATATTGGTTGGGTTATAACATGTGGACGATAATTTTTAAAACATTATTCATTTATAATAATTACGGTCCAGAATAGGCTCTGTTACCAATTACATAGCAAGTTCACAGGAGCTAACTCAAATGCTATAATTTGTGTCACTTCAAAAGCTCAACCCATTATTTTACTCAACCTCATTTCATTTCATTTCATTACAGTTACTCTGAGAGACCTAAAAGTTAGTTCAGTAGTATTCTACAACATTATTGATTGCCCTGTATATGACAGAGAGAGAGAGATGAATGGGGTTAAACATTAACCCAATACAAACTAGACCATTTCGCGACTAATATTATGTTTCAGTTTTATTCAATAATTCGTTGCTCACAGGAATGAAGAGGGAAAAACCCATGAGGCTGGGTCCCATCGAATGAGATTATAAAATGGATAAAATTACCCGTGGACAATGTGTAGATCTAGAAAATTCTATCATCCTTTTATGACCAAGTTGTTCTCTGAAAAAATACACAATTAAAAGTTAATAATTCAGGCATGTTTATTGGGTCTGGTTTTAGCTCGGGTTACAGGATTATCGTCGCTCTCAGTAAGTAAGACGTTGGCTTGCTAGCCTGGAGGTTCTGTGTTCGATCCCGGTGCTGGCCGAGAAAGTTTTTGCATGGTTCCCCCTTGTCAGTGGTACAGGATGGAGGCCCTGGCAGTTGACAGTATCTAGCTGTTCAGATTGGACGAAAAACCAAGTTCCTGTGTACGCAATGGCGTTAGAATTCGAAATAACAGTAGACGGTAGTGCCACTGTACCCTCATAGCACACTGAATGGCGTATGCTAGTCTTCATTAGCCCAGTTGGATCAGAACAGTAGGATGTTAAACCCCATTAATTTTGGTTTATATAGGTTAACTATATTGACTATTTTATGATAGATTAACTCACTTGAGTATATTTTCCCAAATAGTTGAATCATAAAAGGCGTGAGTCCACACCAACTTGCTTGTTCCAACAATACGATTCCTGGAAAACATCTGTTTACTGAATTCTAAATATAGATGTTCGGCCTCATCCAGTGAAATACGAAATAAGAATATCATGGCTGCTATCAAGGACCCTGTGCTGACGCCACAAACATAGTCGAACATATCTCTAATATCTGTCTGACACGCCTCTTGTAATCTACGTAATGTTTCTATGGCGACTAATCCCCTGAAAATAAAAATACAAAATTTAAAAATCTGCCATCTCATGATGGTCTATGTCAGGCTCTAATAAACTCTGTATAATCAATGGAGCCAAGGGGGGGGGGGGGCTCAGCGGGTATTGGCGTTTGCTGTCCCATGTTCAACCCTGTTGTTGTCAGTGTAGGATTGCGGGACAATGTCTAGTTGTTCGGATGGGATCCAAAACTAAAGTCCTGCGTACAAATGTACATGTATATAAAAAAACTCTTGGAAGTTGACACAAATGCTACTTTCCGGCAAAATTTCACTCTTGGCACATTGCATGGTGTATGCCCGACTTTATTACGTCAGCTGGTGCAAAAAAGCAAGATGTTCAATCCCATTTCATTTTATTTCAATAAAATTAAGCAAGCAATTGTTTGGATTGGATCAATAAAAGGTTACAGATTCACCAAAACGTAACTAAAATAATTCAGACTATTTGTCGGCCAACTGTCAACCAATAAAAAAAGGCCCCAGATATTTACATGTTACAAGTCATAGAGACTAGCTGCATGGTAGTCTTGGTCACCCAGAATATTTTTCTGGATGATAGAGACTAGCTACATGGGTATTAAACATTGATACAGGTATGACATATATAAATTATTATACTGAGTATGAAGGATAATAACCAGTGAAAATGTTATAACTATGATATAAATGATATTTCCCCACTTTATAATCCATGTCTCACAATTTGTGTGTATATAGTTCATGCATGTCTCACAATATGTGTGTTTATATTTCATGAATGTCTCACAATATGTGTTTATATTTCATGTCTCACAATTTGTGTTTATATTTCATGAATGTCTCACAATATGTGTTTATATTTCATGTCTCACAATTTGTGTTTATATTTCATGAATGTCTCACAATATGTGTTTATATTTCATGTCTCACAATTTGTGTTTATATTTCATGCATGGCTCACAGCTAATATCTCCTAGTGTAGCAATAAACTACCGTGAAATCTTTCACCTACAAATATCAAGTCTGATTTGTAAATGACCTGAATACTAAAAAATGTCACAAGTGAGACATTGTCTTCATTATTCCAGTTCGTGTATGATTTCATTCCATAAGAGACAGAAAAAAATTCTATAACAAGTGGGAAATAAAAACCTGAAGCAACTAATTAGACTGGCTCTAAATTTATAATTCAATATATTTTCTGTAAAGTATGGATGGCTTGAATGGTCTTCAATGCCGAGTCATTCCCATGCTGGACATCTCTCAGGATTTTCTAAGACTACGCACACAGAGGGGTACACAAGTGCAGACAGCGAGCTATCTAGCTGGGACCTTTGTTAATTTTCAGAGGATAGTACATTTGCATGTACACCGACTAGTCAATCTTTTTTATCTTGCACGCTGTACGGTGCGCCAAATCATAGCTTTAGCGATAATACTTGCAAGTGAAATGCCCTGATTCAAGCCAGGGTGAATTCCCTATCATTTACACGTCCGACAATCTTTGAGGATTTTCTATTACTACGCCAATACAAGGTGTATTATCGTAATACCATGCCGAACACATAAAATGCATCCTGGGAGTCATGTATTAAACTCACCTTGTTCCACCACCATCTATACTGATTATACGTATACCCCTGCCCTTTAATTTAGGAACGTAACCAATCAGAGCCAACGCTTCATTAGCCTGAGCTTTTAACGATTTATCACTGGATTTACAGAATTTCAACAAATGAGGTAAAACCTTCTCCTGAAAAATAAACATCATTTTACATTTAGCTAGCCATGTAGATTTATACTAGTGACGCTACTTGATTCAATGACAGACCTTATCATCTAAATCGCATACATAAAACCATTCCACCAAATTTGAAATAAATTGCTTTTAGTATGTTAACCAAAACTGATACCTGTACTCAATGAGAGAAAGAGAGAGAGAGAGAGAGAGAGAGAGAGAGAGGGGGGTTTAAGTCCACCTGTCCACTTGACACAAACTAGGTCATAGGGGGAAAATGGGGAACTCGGAGAAACCTCACGAGGATGGACAGGCGACCCTACTCCTTGTCACTACAACCGGGGAATGGAAACCACCCATGGTGCTCAATGACCAGACTCTTACCAGGGTTAAATGAATGCTATCAAAATTACGTTACTTCAGTTTTTTACTCTTGATTTTAACCCTTGCACTACAGGACCGTCCTATTCACGAAAATTTATACTAAAATATTTTAGGAATACAGCCTTTTCATTGGCTAAAAACTAAATTATGCACCACGATTTTCACCATCAACTAATGAAAAGGCAGCATCCTTTGACAGTTTTAAGTTTCATAAATAAACAGGCCTTTAACTGGGGGGGGGGGGGGGAATCCCCTGAGAACACTTTCCCCCCCCCCCCTCATTGGTTCTGAGCTAGTTACAACCCTGCGAATAATGCCTCTGGTCACTACTGGTCACTATTCCCATTTCCATTCTAGGTTATTCAAGATGTTAATGTGGTGTAAGGCCTGATGCAGATGTTTTCAGACACCAAGGTTACTGTGCATCCTCGGTATCCTCAGTGGTCTCATTCTGTTCGACTCCACTATACCCTGGCTTCACCCATGCGGTATTCATGAATTCAAGTTATCTGCCCTTAATGGTACGGTGATTTTACGAACCAATAAAAAAAAAACAGTTTATAAACCAGTCTTAGTCGCATTGCTTATTTTTGTTGCAACACAATGACAGTTAAGACTGGTTAGTGCTAAATGATAATAAGTACAGCTCAATTTTTCGTCATAGCACTAATCCCAACCCTAACTCTAACCTACAATCTCGCCAACAATCACATGCCCTAACCTTATTTACACCTCAACAACCTTGACAAAAATTAAGCTGGCCTTAACAAATAGATTTAGTCAGATTAATGGAGTAGAACAGAATGAGACCATTATGGACAACGAGGATGGTTACTGTGATACTTACTCTATAAGCAACAGTTCTAGAATTAGGGTACTGTAATATATGTTTACATAGTTCTTCTGTTCGAGTTAATTTGGACATGGACGACTTCGCCGCTTTGATTGCATGAACCAAAGCTCTTGTTCTACTGTCGATAGCCGACTTTGATACAAAATCTTTTTGAATGAGTGGCTTTTTCACTTTTTCCGGCTGATTTGTGGGGTCAGTTCTGGCAGATGCTGTGATCAAAACATTTCTGATTAAATTTGTTGTTTCCTTATCAACATTTTCTGTATTTGTTCCTTTCACCATGGCAACGGGCGATCGTAAATATTGGTGTGTATTAGTTTGGTCATAAAAAGATGAAATACTTTCTTGTGTGTCCAGCATGGCTTTTTCGAAAGTATGTTGCTCACGATCCGCAGACACGTTATTTGATATGATTTTTTTCCTCCTTACAACTGGTTTCATAGTTCTCTCCCTTACAGAAGAGTCTCCAACAAAAGGAATATATTTTTGGAAATCTGAAGTAATACCCCGAGGAATGGCTGCCGTTATGGCACCAAATTGAACGACTGCACCAGAAATGCTGTCTTTCATTTTCTGAATGGATTTTAATTGTTCTTTTATTGTTTCCATCGTTGATTTGTTTTTATTTTTATCTTTTTCATCTTTCTCTGGTTTCTGACTGATTGTGTGATTGTGGTAAGTTTGTTGATATGTTGCCATCTCACATCGTATCATCGTAGCTTCGTTCACTCGTCCACTAGGGGAACTACTCCTCCATCCCGACTGTGCAGGTTGAAAGGGACAGGAAAGATGCCTAGCTGTACAACTCTTGACTGGTATTCTTAAGGCCGCCATGGTCGGACCTGAAAAACAGAAAATGGAATATCAGAATTCTGAAAGCTGTCATTTTGGGATTAACACACAGCTATTCATTGTGAACTGGGAATAATTTTACCATGGTAGCAACTAAATTCAGCCTCATTTTTCCTTGTCCAGACAAGAAGTAGGTTCGCCTGTCCAACCTCGTGGGTTTTCTCCAGGTCCTCTGGTTTTCTCCCACTGCTAAAGAGCCCTACGCGCAAGTGAAATATTGAAATAAAATTGAACCATATGTTAGTCTCGAAATGACCTGGTTTATGTCTCGAGTGAATGTTAAACCCCATTTCGCTCTCTTGTCCAATGGTGGTGTAAGACTGGCGAAGAAAAGTGTACAGTCTTTAGGAAGAGATGAAAAACCAAGGTGTTGTTTACAACATTGGCAGCATCTTACAGATCCCCTGACAAACTGAAATCAAAATAAGAGTTGATCGTAACACTGTTGTATGGGCAAAATTTCTCATATAGTACAGTTAACTAGCGAATCAAGCCCATGGATCATCCTTTCAGTGACATTTCCTTGTAATATTCTAAAAGTAAATTGATAAGAGAGAAGGGAATTGTGACTACTACTACAAGTAGTTGATTTTAAGATCTAAAATCACTGGGGGAAGGTGGGGAAGGTGGGGGGGTGGGGGGTGGATGGCCGAATGGTTAGCAGGTGCGCACTGTATCATAAGTTCTGTCATTGGGTCAACTGGTGTGGTTTCGAATCCCCGGTTGTACGTGACTAGGAGTAGGGTCGCCTGTCCAACCTCATGGGTTTCCTCCCACAGCTTGTAAAGACCCCTACGCGTAAGCGAATTATTGAAATAAAATTAAACCATATGTTATTCTCGAAATGACCTAGTTTGTGTCGAGTGGATGTTAAACCCCATTTCTCTCTCTCAAAATGACTGCAGGAGGGCATATAGACTTTGTTTACATAAACATTTACAGTATTAAAGAATCAGGGGCTTATCCAATTTACAAGGTTAAATAATGGGTTTAACTAGACTGTTAATGTTTGATTTTCCATTTTGGATGTAAGATAAACAAAATCAAAATATTATGGTTGACTATTTTTAGCCAAAAGAAAATCGGTGAGTGGGTCAATAATCGTGTAAATTATTATGAATGAAGCTGAAGATATCTACAAGTCAATTTCCATCTACGGCTGAATATTTTCTTTAAAAATTGAAAACAGACAGTTGTGTTCTATCACAACCAATGGAGACCTGTGATTGTCATTGAGTGAAAACAATAACAAGCCACTCAAAGCCATCTGCACTCACTGCAGACATATTATTTATGTCGGTAAACCGTTATGTCTGGGCTGCTGTTATTTTCATGTTCACTTCTCTAAAACCAATTTAAAATTCTGTGTTCACTTACCAATACCCTGCAACTTTCCTTCAGTTAGTTCCGAATTCTTCTCCAAATTCCTTCTGTCAGAATTCCTAGAAAAGTTACCCCAATTATAAATTCAATTTCTTGCCACAAGCTTGTTTAGTAATGTTATGATTTTTCTTCCTCGGTTCGTCAGTACTTCAACTTGATATCACCTGATCCAAACAAATATCTAACAGCATTTCTCATTGGCTGAATTTATATTCATGTCTACACGTCATCAGCTTCCTTGTAGTCTAGTTTGTCACGCAATGAATTAAAGAAACTACATTAAGACTTGTTAACCAGGGCGTGCAAAGCTGCGACGGAATACCCGCTTTTAAAAGCGAACCAGGGCGCACGTATTTATACAAATCCGTTGCATTTGACTAAAGAGATAATCCCTCAATGATAAATAGTGCGTGATTAATTTATGAACGAAAAAATACGACCCCAAAGCCGTGTCATTGAATAAAAATATCCTTGGACAGCGCCCACAAATTTTAGCCAATGATCGGAAACCTTACATCGAATGATTGTGACGTTGATTGGAAGTTCGCCAGATGTAAACAAATTAACATGTGCCAATGTTGTCATCAAATAGATTAGTACACGTGTTTCACCTCTTATTGAAGAATTCGTTTATCGCGCGGAACATTGATAACAGAATGGGATAATTGACCGAACAATCGGTGTTTAATTACCAATCAACGATAATATTGTGTTGATAAATGGCGACTAATGATATGCCTATTGAACATTATTTACGATAACAGCTATATATGGTAGCCAGACTGTTAATTTGTCCGGAGGTTAATCCGATGAATTAAATAAAAAATATGGAATACAAATACTTATGTGTCTGTCCTTAATATCATTAAAGATAATTCAAGAGCTAAATTTGCCCATTGCAGGTCTTTCTTTAAGGTTTTTTCTTACCCCCTGATTTTTGTTAACTCCGATCAATTATAATAAAATATTAATGTGTTAATGATCCTTTCACTGATTGTACTAATTATCTTGTATTCTAACAGCATAGGTCTGTGGCTTCTTTTTTGTATCACTATAAATATTACCTTTTAGTTTAACAAATTATTCTCTCCTATGTCTTGTCTGCGATATCACTTATGTGGAAGCAGACGTTAAACACCAAGAACTAACTAACTTAACAAATTATTGTCTGCGATATCACCTCGGTGGAAGCGGACGTTAAATAAAGCTATTTCACACATTAACTAATTATCATTTGTGCTCGATAACGATAAGATGAAATGAAATGGGGTTTAACGTCCTACTGTTCTGCTCCTAAATTAGGCTAATGAAGACGGGCATACGCCATACAGTGTGCTATGAGGGAAATTTTGCCTGGGCAGCGGCACTATGGTCTACTCTCATATTGAATTCCAACTGCCAAGGGATTTTTTTCATGCACGCCAATGTGTACACGGGACCTCGGTTTTTCGTACCATCCGAACAACTAAACAGCTGTCCTTGTCAGGCCCTCCGTCCTGCATCACTGACAAGGGGAAACCACGCCGGAAAATCTGGATGAACTTTCTCGGCCAATGCAGGGATCGAACACCCGTTCTCCAGGCTAGCGAGTTAGTGTCTTACCCACTTAGCCACCGTGATCCCCCAACGATAAGAAAATACTTGTCGAAACGTCGTGCGATGCCTGTATAACAGTGATTGTATTTCCATATAAACTGTGTTGTGGTTTTTTTGTCCTTTTTGCCTTAAATGTTGTATAGACATTCATTAACACGACAAGACCATACTCAGCTCTCGATGCAATCGGATTCTAGAGATTTTAACTAGATTAAAACGGTTAATCGGTAATTTAATGATTTAATTTAAAAATGGAGAAGCTAGACTAAGACTCGAACATACCAGTACCGTGGTTACGATAATAAACAACCAATGCACATATCTTGTCAAATCTACAAACAGTGATAACTTGGCTCAGAATATAGTAATTTGAATGACATTTTCAATATAACCATTTTGCATTATCTATTTTTAAACTATTATAACTTGAATGTCCAGCTCTTTATCTAAATCTTACATAATATCTTCAATAATGTTTCGGACGTTTGTAATAAACAATAATATTACTTTACGTGTAGCCTACAGCGAGATTTCAACTGGTTCCTCATTGCCCGAGAAAGACTACAGAAGCCTAGAGAACAAAATTAAACGTATTTTAGTCTCAAAATAACCTAAGTATTTTGTTGACAGGATGTAAAATTCCATTAACCAAGACACTTTCTCTGTGCCGGATTTACCTCTAGACTTGGTAGACTGAAGCCGGGCTTTAGGAGGCCTCTGGCATATAGGTGTAGGCCTATATTTGACACTGTAATAAGCCTTTCTTACACGCACCGAAGTCTTAACATCGCTTTGGCGTCGTTATCCTTACACTTTGTGCATGAAATACAGTCACAAGTATTGTTATAGTTTTATACATACCAGCCTAAAAGAAACCCAATCACGACCCAATCAAGGTAAAAGTTGACATCCTTTGAGAGAATAAATGATTTGAAATAAAAGTCAATTTCTTGTCTGTTTGTCTTTCCTTTATTTTTAACAAATTTTTGTTAACAAGATTAATAATTTTTAACACAACACATTATTCAGATGTGACAAAATTGCAAAACCATAGATTATGATAAAAACAGACATTGTTTAAATATGAAATGTAAAAGTCGTTAAGCCAGCACCACGAAACGGGCGTCGACCGGTTTTAAAAGCCAACCGTCGTTAAGCGAGTATTAGTAATTGTTCTTCCATAAATATGTTATTGCTCTATTCGGTTACAAATGCCTATAAAGAATAATTATTGAATTTATTACAAATATAAACCATGTGTCATGTGTGAACCCCCTATGTTGCACGTACATTATCAGTGTATATATCGCCACATACCCCCCCCCCCTCCCACACACACACACACCCACCTCCAAAAAATATCACGGTAAATACACATTAAATATGCATACAGTAATCTGAAATGGGTTGTTCTTCTTTTCTGCGCCAACGGGCTAATGGAGACGGGGATACCGAGGACGCCATGTAGTGTGCTATGAAATGGGGGATACGCCACGCAGTGTGCGATGAGGGAAATAGGGGATACGCCATGTAGTGTGCTATGAGGGAAATGGGGGATACGCCATGTAGTGTGCTATGAGGGAAATGGGGGATACGCCATGTCGGGTACGTGTACACGTGGCCCCCAGGTTTACATCCCACCCGAACGACTAAACGCTTTTCCTTGTCAGGCCTCCGAAAATCCTAGCTGGGAACCTTTTCTTGGCTAACACCATGGGTTCGATAACCCCGGACCACCACAGTGCCAAACTCAGTACAAACTAGGTTATTTCGGGACTAAACTGTGGTACAGTTTATTTCACTAATTCGCTTGGGTGTAGGGGGTCTTTAACAGTGGGAATAAACCGGTCGACACGGAGAAAACCCACCTCGAGGTTGGCCAGCTGTCGACACTTTTGTGATAAATGTTTCTTCTTGGAATTAAATTAGAGCGATCTAACCATCGTAAAATTATTCTTTTTAAATGTTTCAATAGTTTCATGCAAAATTATATGAAATTTATTAGCCCAGATACCCCTATTTCTAGATCTTTTGGATTAATCTTTAATGTGAATTTATAGTTTAACAATAAAGGCCTATAGTAATAGTCATGGACACTTCGTTATATGAGGTATCTTTAGTAACTGGCAGGCGGAGCCATTTCTCTCAATTCTTATATTTGTTCTATCTATAAATAACGGGCACGCGCTTCTATTAATAACTTTTCTACTTTTACTTTAGACCCGCCTTCGCCCTATCAATGACAACCAGATGCTTTATATGGTCAAAAGCGTAATATTTTGTTTCGTAGATATTCATTGGTTGCTACTTATATATTTTATAGTTGAGCCAATGGCACGATCGGTTATATCCTGTAGGCTATTCATAGAACACGTGATATATGAAACCGTTATCCTGCCAGCTGAGTTAATCTGTTAGCAGACGACTCAGGAGAAAGGTAGGTAAAAATCTACGCCAGTTATTGTTTGACTTTTAGACATTGTGTAGAAACATTTTCTTGACTTTTAGCATAATAATTCGAAAATAGGCCTGTCTGATAACAGATTTTACTTGTTAATTTATTTTGCATCTTTGCGCAGTAAACAAGAAATCGATTACCGGTATTTGAGGACTTGGTGAGGTGGCAAGCTGGGGTTATTTGCGATCATGCACTTTAACTGTGCATTACGTACAATATACCATGGTTGATATTTCACACTAACATGTGTTTAGAATGGATTATCAATATTGTAAATAAACGGAGATTTCTGTTCATGGAGCTGATCGTGTTTTCATTTACAACAAAGTCAACACAGACATAATAATTTTTTAAAAAATGTGATGATCATTTTTGTTCACAGTTTTCTTTTCGATGTTTAGAAACATTTTCTTGTAATCAATTAATAATAAATTAACTTGACATTTTAAGGGTGGTCAACCAAATTTTTAAAATTCTTATCAAGTTTTTAAATAACTCTGAATAATTCTGTCCACCAATTGTAATAAATGAAACTGGGTATAAGATCCTACTGTTCTGCACGGGGGGGGGGGGGGGGGGGGGGGTGGTGTGTGTTGGATGGCCGAATGGTTAGCACGCGCGCGCTGTATCATACGGTCTGTCATTGAGTCAACTGGCGGGGTTTCGATTCCCCAGTTGTACGTGACAAGGAGTAGGGTCGCCTGTCCAACCTTGTGGGTTTTCTCCGGGTCCTCCGGTTTCCTCCCACCGCTAAAGACCCCTACGCGCAAGAGAATAATAGAAATAAAATTAAACCATACGTTAGTCCCGAAATGACCTAGTTTGTGTCGAGTGGACGTTAAACCCCATTTCTCTCTCTCTCTCTGTTCTGCACGGACTGGACTAATGAAGACAGCCAAACACTTTACCTGGTCTCTAACCTGGATATCACTATATAAAATGCATGATGGAGTGCCAGGTTGACCTGTGCCTGGTCAGCAACATAGTATCTAGTTGTTTGGATGGGATGAAAAATGAACTCCTGTGAACACATAAAATAACCCTTGACAGTTCGAATCTGAAATAAGAATTGGTCGATGCATAACATACTGTACGTACAGCGTATAGTTGCCTGTCTTCATTATCCCAGCTGCTACAGAATGTAAGACTTTAAACCCCATTTCATTTCTGTAATGATAATGATGATGATGATGACCCTCCCACCAAAGTTACCTGGCTTCAGTTAGGTTGCACATTTTATTATGTGCTCTTTTAATTAAAAATTACATAAATCACCAACTATTATAGGGCAATAATTTGAGTATAGGACAGATTTTATAGCTAGGCCAGTCTAGTCAATAATTTGAGTGTTGGATAGTCTAGCCAATATTTAACTTTGGTGATTAAACGTTATAAAAGAATAAAGCCCCACATATTGAAGTATTAATTCTTGTGTTCGATGTTTTCTTAAAACTTCAAAACTCAAATTTCTTGAACTAAAATCTTCGGAGAGAAGTAATTAAACACTTCAAGTTTTTAAATTAGTTTTTTCCCAGAAGAAATTGGAGGCAGCATTTTCAATCTGATTAAAACACAGATCATATTTCGTTTCGTTTTACTTGTCTTTACTACACTAGAATCTGGAAGAGTTGTTATATAAACTGTGTTCAGGTTGATGTGAGGGATTAGCCAATGAAACGGTCTGTTGCAGCGAATCCTTGGCGTTCACACTAGAAACATCAATGCTGATTGGTTAATCAAATGCCTGATGGCTTGTCTTGTCCACAGATTTATCTTGTGAATATTTGTTTTGCATGTAGTGCGGTCCTCCTGCACTTACTAATAGGGTCAAAAGCCGCTCGTATGACCCCTGACGCAACCTTCCACTACAACCAGTCAGATCGAAAGTATAAAAAACGAAACGAAATATAGATCAGTATTTTAATAAAATTGAAGCATTTTTAACAGGTGGTCCTAAAGAACAGGTGGTCCTAAAGAACAGAAACTCTACTTAGTGTGGCCTAATGATTTTATAAAGAAAAAAACCTAAATATCTTTTTTTTAAATTTTATTAAAGTTAATACCTGTACAAGTATTATAATAAAAACGTATACATTGTCTAATTTAGAGAAAAGATTAAAGATATAATAGTTTATTTACCACATCAATTGATAATATACAGTGGAGGAAAACTGTGCAACAAAACACAGACCCAAAAAACATACCGGTAACAATCCTGAAAGTGACCACATAAAATGTGAAATGTTGAGGTGCAGGGGGAAGATATGGTGGGATAATTATTAGGGAATGTCAGGTACATGTACACTGGTCTAAATGTCTTCTTAATATACTAAAACATAAATTAGGGGGAAGGCAGATACATGTACTCATCACCTAAACATAAATTAGAGGGACAGTAGACACACATCACCTAAAGATGAATTATGAGGAATGCAGAAACATGTACATATCCCCAAAACATATTTTCCCTCATACTTGTTCTTGTGTGGCCATTATTTTTGTGTTTTTACAGCGATCCTTATAAAAGGAAACTTGATGATTTAGGTAATGATGTCACAGATTAAAAATACTCAAATAAAACAAACAAATAATTAGACTTTTTATTGCATAAATGAACTAAAGATTTGTAAAGGCATCACTAGAATAAGATAACTTATTGGTGGAAGTTGACATTTAACCCTACCAACAACAAACAGTCTTCATCAAGTGCTTTGAATGACTTTGCATACAAGTTAATGTTAACAAAATATATCAATGATAAAAATATTTAATATATCATTATAAAAGATAACCACATAAAATATAACATAATATCAGGAATTAATGAATATCAATTGAAAGCAGTAAAATTTAATATATGATAATAATATGAGTATATGAATATACTATGTTAAATATTAGCCAAGATGTTTATATATATTGGTTATTTTTATCTACATGTAACATAGATAATAACACATGTAAACTGGTGATATATCTTAAACACTTGTGTCCTACTTGTTACAGATACATTTTTATACATTAAGATGTCAATAATTCAGTTTTCATAATATTTCATTCATTCATCCATCCATTTATTTATTCATTTTTATGACTATCTATTTATTCATCCACCCAAACTTCACCCTTCAATTCATTCCTTAAGTTATCAGTTCATTCATTAAATTCTTGCCTGGTTCATTTTGACCTTCATTTCATTCATCTACCTAACCTTCATTCATTCAATCTATACACCCACTCATTCTTCAATTCATTCATCCAGCTAATCATTCATTCAATTGTCTTCTCTTTCAATGTTATTTGATGGCCAGTTCATTCATCCATCCATCCAAACTTCAATTCTTTTATTCATTAACTACAGTTGAGCTATTCATTCATTCATTCATTCATTCATTAAGATGGTATGTATGAATTTAATGAACATATTTAAAGGTTGAGAAATGTAATTATGTGACAAATTAAACAAATATTTAATTAAGATGTAAATATCTGGAATACCTGTCATACTTTCTCACACAGTCAGGTATCACGTTTACCTGTAGATAAGTTAATTAAAGGTATGATATAATAGGTATAATTAATGGTTGAATTAATTAAGATATTACTAATTACCTGACACCTTCTACTGGGTCTTTATTAAAGAGGAACTATGGCAGATTGCCAATAAACATTTACCTTTCTTAGATTAACCCTTTAGCTCTTGAACCACTCAAAACTAATTCATTCTTTTATGTCTCAAACTGCCTGGGGGGGTTGGATGGCCGATTGGTTAGCAAGTGCGCGGTATCATACAATCTGTCATTGAGTCAACTGGCGGGGTTTCGATTCCCTGGGTAAGTGACAAGGAGTAGGGTGGCCTGTCAAACCTCGTGGGTTTTCTCTGGGTCCTCCGGTTTCCTCCCACTGCTAAAGACACCTACGCGCAAGCGAATTACTGAAATAAAATTGAACCACGTGTTAGTCCCGAAATGACCTAGTGTGTGTTGAGTGGACGTTAAACCCCTTTTCTTTCTCTCTCTCAAACTGCCTGAGTCACATTTTCCTAACTTAACCCTTTAGTGCCTGACTGCCCAAAACTAATAAATTCTCTAGTGCCTCAAACTACCCAAGTTTAACATCCTACAAACCAGGGAATGAAAACTGTCATACACAATGCAGTGTGTTACGTGAGTTTCTGCCCACTCCTCATCAAATCACAACTAGTACCTAGAATTTGTGGGGGACTAAGAACTGGTCATTAACCCTACTCACCTTGTTCTACTTGTTCTTGGGATGAAGCTCTTCCAAAAAGTCTAAGGCTCCGTCAATTCAAGACCGATCGACATGAAAATTGGCATGTTTGTTCTTTGAACAATTCTGCATCGATTTGGTGAATTAGTTTTTTGAATTTCATCCAACAACATGGTCAGTTCCTGGTCCACAGTGTGATCATTATTGTTTGTTTCTTTTAATTTTATATTATTCGTAATTTTCATAAATTGGTTAAATAACTTTTTTGTATGTTTTGTAACATAGCATGTTCCACAATTCTTTTCTGAGAATAGAATATTGTTTTTTTACGTGTATGTAAACGTATACACAGAACAGCTTTTTTTATATCTGGACTTTAGTTGTTGAGAGAACAACTGCTGGCTCAACTCTACTACAAGGTGGAATATTAGCGATAAATCAAGATAGTAACGTTGTAGTGATGACAAAACGTGCAGCCCTTTCTTTACTCTTGTTTACACTAAGATGTAAGAGATCTTAGGCAACAACTGTGACAGGAACCCAGTGTATAGACCGTAAAACGTTCAGGGACTCAGTGCTCCAATCAGAGGATATTTGAAAAGCGATAGAGGCAAAAACTCTCACAGAAACTAAGTGTATTTACAGCGAAATATTTGGGGACTCAGTGCCCATAGGGTTAAAGTGATCTAGGCAATAACTGTCACAGTAACCCAGTGTATAGACTGCAAAACGTTCAGGGTCTCAATGCT